ATTGTGGATATTTTCCCAAGATAAAAAAACTGTTCCAACCAACTACTAGTGATACTAGAAATTAAGGACTTTTAAGGACCGTGAATCAAAATTAAGTACTTTTAAGGGCCCTTAATTTTCAAAATAAAAACTAAGCAGTTTTTAAGGACCGTGGGAACCCTGGACAAGCACACATTATATTTTCTAGCAAGAAAGTGGTTTGGAGAACAAAGGAAATGAAAAGTGAACAATTAATTCATCAATAAAAATATTTGAATTTTGAACATTCTTCTAGTTTAAAAGAAAAAAAAACATTCAAATACTAACTTTCTTTATACTAAGGTAAATTTTCTTCTGAAATGCTAACAGCCGAGCTTTAGGAGTAGATTCATGATGAGATGATAATAATGACCAGACACTGTCATGCAATGCTGATACCATATACTGGAAAAAAAAATTTACAAGTGAAAGAAAACTACATCAATATTTATAAGATTTTAAATCTAATATACAAAGCAAGACAGATATAATATAAATTACTAAATAATAAAAAAAATTGCCGTCAGTTTTGTTTGTTTGTTTGTTCTGTTTTGCATTATTTACATTTACATCACATATACCAAACAGATTCTACAACAATGTTACATATTTCAATTTCAGGCAACAGCACTCCTTAAACCTAATCTTAGAAGATAATCAAAATGTACCATTTGTCCAGTTATGATCATAAACTACTTACGGGTGTAATTTATGCTCAAAACTTGAGCGGTAACCTTCATTGGTGGAAGTTCATGAAAAGAAAAAACCAGGCGTGGAAATTATTTTTAAGGATTTTACTTACATATTATTGCTTATTGATTCAGTAAAAGTGGATTGGGCTATGAGCTATGCTAAAATTATTTTTAATACCATAAAATTAAATTTGTTGGGATCAGTTAACTAGTTGCTACTGATTATTTTTTATACACTTTTACACTACTCAGTTTCAAAAAGACACGATATGAGTAGACTTGTGCATTAGCAAAATATAATTTTTCTTTAGGCATGCAGATGATCACTACACAACAGATTCCCGAGCAATGCTTCCAACTTACAAGATGACAACACTGCAGCCTCATCACATTCTAGTTCTATAAATCTTTTCCCTGATAAAAAAAACATTTCAAGATTCCTATAGACTGTAATGGTGACAAAAAGAATAGTGGCATATGAGCACTTAGGATCATTTCAGGAATAGAATAAATAATAAACCTTCTTAAATCCATAAAAAATATTATTTTCANTTTTTTTTTTTTTTTTTTTTTTTTTTTTTTTTTAAGTTCAAAATGTACAGAAAACATGGAAAAAATAGAACAATGAAAAATGGGAAAAAGAAAAATAATAATAATGAAAATAATAAAAATCCAGGAGAAAAAAAATCTGAAAAAAGGGGGAAAATTAATAAAAAGCTGTAAATAATCTTTTCATCAGCTCACGCGATTATATCCACAGAAAGGAGTACTTTCTAATATTGTATCAATATAGCCAAAGAAAATCTATCAATACAATAGTGTGAGAAGCAATTAAAAGAAAAATTTACAAAAAATTACAACAAATGAAATAGAACACATTAAGTAAAAATATCACGCAAAATCAGAAAATAAAATAAAAAACAGAATAAAACATAAAACAAAATCTATAAAGCAAATAGCGAATTCAATTGAACTTACATGAATGGGAATTTTTTCAAGAATGATTTAAAATATTTTTACAACAAGATTGCCAGATTACAAAATATGAAAACAGAAGCTCAAATTGAGGTAAAAGCATAAATAGAGGTTTTTTTTTATCGTGGATTCTTACTGCAGTACTGAAGTGCGTTTGATTTGTTAGTTATTAAGGATGGGCCCGAAAATAGATATGCACAAGGTAATATTATACTGGATAATTTAAAGAAGTTAACAATTAATAATTTGAGAAAATTAACTTCTATTTAAGAAAAAAATAAAATAGGAAAGAGAAAAAAACATGAATTGCCATTTTTGCAAATAATTTTTGTCGTGGATTTGCCCGAAAAGGATTTGCACATGGTAAAAATTATATAAACTAACAAAGAAGTCTTTTAGTAAATTTATTTACAATAATATACAATTAACTAAATGATTTAACATAGAATTTAATTACTTTAGTTGTTGTCCATTGTTTTTTTAATCAGTTTTGAAAGAGTTTTTCTATTTGTTTTTTGGATAAACAAACATTACTACATATTCATTCAATTCTATTCATTTGATTAAAAATGGTATTTAAATAGATGTTCTAAGAATTCTAAGTAATTAATTTATTTACATTAAAGTTAAAATCATTTCTTTTATCTTACAAATCCACAAAGAAGATATTTTCTTCCTTTATAATACCAAAATCCAAAAAATTGAAATTAATATTATCATCATTATTACAAAGCAAAATTAATTCCTCGGGGTAAATGTTGTTTAATAAAATAGAATTATCTTGAAAATTATAGATAATTAAATCATCAATAAATCTAAAAACAAATTTAATATTAAGAGTATAATTTTTTTACTAATAGTGCAAAAATAAGTTAGATAAGAGAGATGAAAAATTAGATCCTTGTGGTATTCCATCAATTTAAAGAAAAATATCTTTTTCATCGCAAAGATAATTATTAAAAATACAAAAATTAATTAGAATTTCCCAATAAACAAAATCATGACTAAGGATATTTTTAAAATCATAGTAAAAATTCAAAAGTACATCTTTTAGTTTAGAAAGGGGAATGCTATTGAAAAGATCCTGGAAATCAAAAGTCACAATAGAATTAATTTTAATATGTTTAATAAATTCTAAAATCGGTTGATTGTTAGTGATAATCCAAGAAAAACCTTCTTTAATAATATTGTTAATAATTTTATTTAAGTAGTTAGAGAAAATGGTGCCAGATTTAGTTAGGTAAGTATTAGTGACATGTGATTGTTCTAACTTTTATAGGAATTTTATGAAATTTAGGACTGATAATTAAGTAAGGAAATTGTATATAGCTAATTTTAATTTTTAATCTCTTATCTAAAGCCAAAAATTTTTACTATTTTTTAACTCCATATTTAAAAGTGCAATAAAGAATTTTTTACAGAAGATTGGATAGTTATTGTTCGCTTTGTCTATGGGGAAACTATAAAATGTTTTTGTAGTTGCTTTATTTATTGAACAATTTTAAAAAATTTGTTGAATTGTTACAGTTATTTAAATTATCCTTATTATTAAAAACAAAGTTTTTAAAGTAATAATAAACAACCTATTTCCATTCTGTTAACATACTTAAAGGTAAAGAGAATCTATTTGATATCTTTCAACAAAAACTATTGAGATCATTAAGAAAGTATTTTAGAAATTTATTAATTGATATTTGGTAAATGGATCTAAATTTTGTGCCTTTTATCATTAAATTCCTAAGTTCTCTATAATATTAAAATTATCAGTAATAATATGTTTATGTTTATCAATAAAATTTTAATCTTTTTCGTCTTCACAATGACATTCATAATCGGATATATAACTTTTCCCAAAATTTTTGATAACATCAATATAATTAATATAGTTCTACCAAGAGATTCATTATATTTAAAGCTTTTAATTATGTGAAATTCTTTTAATGGAAATAAATTTTCAAAAATATTATGAAATTTGATCTTATTGAAAATAGGATTTTGAAAGCTAACAAAATATTATTTATCTAAATTTTTTTTTATTTGGGGAAATTTTACTCATTTTAGCTTTTACAAGTTCAAAACAAAGTAATGTAAATTAATAAAAGAAAAGTTAATAATAAGATCTTGAAGCTTATATAAATCATTATTCTTAAGGGGGAAAATAAAATCTTCAATTGGTTTAATATTATAATGTTTATTAAAATCTTTTTCCATTTTAGAAATGAAATTTATATTTAATTGGTCACTATTAAGAGAGTTTCTATTACTTTTTGATCCCCGTTTACCTCGATTTGTATGCTTATCTTTTATATAAAAAAGTGAGTTGGTGAATTGGTTTAATAAAGTGAATTGGTTTAATATTATAATGTTTATTAAAATCTTCCATTTAAGAAATGAAATTTATATTTAATTTGTCACTATTAAGAGAGTTTCCATTACTTCTTGATCCCCGTTTACCTCGATTTGTACGCTTATCTTTTATATAAAAAAGTGAATAAGTTGAGGAGTTATTAAAGTTAATCTGTGTATGTTGGAAGGTATCGTTTAGCCCATACAGCAAAATTGTTTTGTATAAAAGTCTGTAGTAATTTTCTTTTTGTAGTCTTAAATCTAAATCTTCTACTATATCTAAAATATTAATTTTGACACTGTTAAAATTATGTTCTCTATAATGATTCAATTCCAGATTATTGATAATTTTATTACTGTTTACTGTTATCAAAACGGTGTTGATTAATTCAAATATTAATAGAGTTATTGGTTTGTCCAACATATTTCATATTATAAAAACCACAGGTTTACATATAAATAAAATTTTTACTTTTACAAAAAGAATTGGAGCTATCATTATTAAGAATGGTATGTTTATGGTCAATATTAGGGCAAGTTTTGCACCTTTTAACACCACACGCTTTATAAGACAGTAAAATTTCAGACATTGAATGTCATACCTGCCAACATTGGAGAAATAAAAGAACAGATTTTACTAATGACATATTTTAGGCTACAAATAAAGTTTTGATACATCACACATAATCAAGTAACTCAAAAAGAGAAAGATATAAAATTTGAAATATTAAAAGCAGTTACTGTTAGTTGAAGTAAAAAATTTGTATATAATTCGTAATCTCAAAATAATATTTTTTTAAAGCAATATTTATAATTACTTAAAATATAAACACTCAACATACTGCCTGGCAATAGCACCATTTGTTGAGGAAGAAGAGAAGTATTTTTGCCATCAATTATTTTATAGGCAAAAAGTTATTTTAAAAATTTCTTCAACAAATACGGAGAAATTTGAGAATGTACAGGTAAACAGGAGATAGTTATAAAATACAGGATTCTTCATTAAAAAACAGGAGACTTGGCAGGCATGGAATGTAATTCAAAAAATTTTTATCTTCCAGAGTAGCAAGATGTCTATCCGAATTTCCCCTCTGAATTAGGCTCTTTGTACCGGGTACAACATGAAGAATAATTTAAATAGTGAAAAAAATTTTTTTTTAACATTAAACATATTTTTTACCAGGCACAAAATTGTTATAACTGTTTAAACACATAAAAATAGGCTCATAGAACAACGCCCTAAACACACACAACGTCCCAAGCACACGAAATTAGAAAAAAGAATTAATAAATGGAAGCAAAAGGAAAATAAAAGTAAGTTAATAGTAGATAACATTAAGAGCTAATCTGCATTAAATATAATCACTAAAACATAGCATAATAAATAAATCTAAAAAGGACAACAAAAAAAACGTATTAAAAAATAAAACTTGTTTTTCTTAATTTTTTTTTTTTTTTTGTCCTTTTTGTATTTATTTATTATGCTATATTATATAGACATATATACACATGCAGAGCATTAATGAAATAACAACAAAATCTACATGCCTGTATCAGGTTTGATCATGTGTCAGTGCCATTGTCATACAAATCAGCAACATAAGTAGGGAAAACTGCACAGTGCCAGTATAAGAAACTGTAGTCAGAAGCATCCTCTTTAACCTGAAATAAAATAAATTAAATTTAGTAGAAATATTTTTAATTAGCAAAAATAAGTCTTAAAAAGCTGACAAAAAATAACTTGAAAAGCATAAGCTACAAAAAATGCTTATGACTTCCACTAATACTAATTACTTATAAAAGTAAGAAGAGTTTTAAAACTTATTAATTTTTGCTAATAAAACTGATGGGCTCAACATGCATGGTAGCTAAGCCCTTCAATTAAGTCATTTATAAAATTTAACAAATAATTTTAAACATAATTTACCCTTAAAACATTAGATTTTCAAGTAGTTAAAAAAAAGATACTTTTTCTAAATGCATAAAAAAAACTTGGATAGACATACCATAATTTGGCAGAGCATACCATGGCATTTATGATTTATAAACATTAAACTTCGGTATGCACTGCGTACCTAATGGGGCAGCCTGTACAGTATTTTTTTTTTTTTTAAACTACTTGAGCTAGAAAATTCAATTTTGTTCAATTGATTCTCCAAAATTTCATTATTTTTCTTCATCTCTTTATCTTTTGCAGCAATCTATTTTTATATTTTATGATCAATAATAATTAAAAGAATTAACAATGGATGTGTAAAACAGTTTGCAAGAATGTATCAATAGTGCAACATACGTTCTACCCGTCACACAAAAAAGTCGTCGGTGAATTCCCTCTCACAATCACTCTGCTAATAGTCTCTTATAAAGCGCAACGGAGGTATGATTCCACCTTTTTTCTGCTGCAGGTGTGAAGAAAAAAAGTGAAAGAAAAATATCCAATCAAATGAGTTGGGTGAAATGGTTAAATCTTAAAGGTCAAGTTTTTTTTCCCACTTTCAGCTGAAGATCAACTTTATTATTAAAAGAAATAACACATTCACGATCATTTAATGCTTTAATTTTGTGCAATTATTCATCTATTTTTAAAACTATTTTTTTAAAAGTTTTTAACTGTTATCATTTGATAGGTTAAAATTTTAGAAATTTAAAATTAGTAGTAAAAAAAAGGGATGCTTTCATGATTGTTTTATAGTACAATTTAAGTCAAACAAGACTTATTTTACTTTATCGAATCATTTGATTTAATAATATTCAGGTATTTCAAACCAGATTATTACATTAATTGCGATAAAGCGACGTGAGCAGCAATTTATTGTATTTTGATAACTCATTTTAATTATATTTGGGTTCTTAATCACTTGGCTTACATAAAATTAGAGTATTTTAAATTGACATTTATTAACGTAATACATTTGTGATTGGGATCAATTTAAATTGTAAACAATTGTACCTGGTACAATTTTGCATACATTTGAAAAGTTGTGATGAAAATTATCAAATTACATAATTTCCAGTCTTAAGTAAGAATGCATATATTAATTTATTGTAGATTTAGTAATTATTTTAATGATTTTTAAAAGTCTAATAATTTATTTTGCTTATAACTTTTTATTTGAAACAATTGCGTTAATTTAACGATCAATTGTAATACAATTTTGTGTGGCGTATCAGACGGTCTGGCCTTTCTGATGAAAAAACGGTTCCTTTATAGTCAAATTTTACACATATACCAGGTGCAGGGTATATACCAGGGCAGTGTATCTCCGCAAAATACTGGTATTTTTATTTTATAAAATACTAATCATATACCGAATATACATTACAAATCATAAAATATACAAGGGGTGAATAAATAAGTTTTACATTAAATACATGCATATAAAAACATTCCAATCATGTCTAAATGCAATAAGAATTATTATAGTATGCAGCATAAAAAATTTATATTAACTTTTCTTTTAAATCACACAACAAATCAAGTTTTTTTCACCACATTGAAAAAATTGGCCATTTCATCATCTTTAAATAAGCTTAAAATAAATGTATACAAAACAATAAGTAAATTCATTTGTAGCATGATACTAGGCAAACATTAATGAAATTTAAAATAAGTATTAAATAGCTTTCTTTATGTTACAATGTTAATTCGGATAGAAAAATATAAATAAAGATGCTAACTACCTAGCAAGATTTAGCTCTATAATTTGTGCAATTTAAATTCTTGTTCAACATACTATTAAAAATATTTTTTGATAAGTTTAATTTCAAGTAAAAGGTTAAATTTATTATTTATTTTAGCAATCAATATTTTAATAAGGAGAAAAAATTATAATACGTTAACCAATGTACCTTTTATGCTAAAATTAAATTTTTAAAAGTCAAAAATATGGTAGCATACAACTACATTTTTAAAAAATAAAATATAGTAGCACACTATTTTTCACTTTAAAACAAATAGCTTTTAAAAACAGACATTCTAATTTCCAAACCAAAATAGAATAATAAAGATATAGAATAGCCAATTGAAAAAATATCAACTGCCATTTATTTTGTCTTAAATATAGATACATATTCTGTTTCAACTTTTTTAGAAATAATCTATTTCGTAAATTACATTGCATAGGAACAGTAATCATTAAAATAAATTGTATTGATTTTATTGTATCATTAAATTAAACTTATTTTACCATGAGAATTTTTATGAGAATACTTTTTTTTTCCAATGAGCTGCACAATCAGTCTTGCCGATGAGCAGACCTAGTGCGTTCTCCAGAAGTGGTTTCCACTCTTTCAAGATCACCACAATTGGTGAGATACCGTTTTCCATGTTAATTTGGACGTCTAGTTTCTGCCACACTAGATGGCAGCACCAAGACTCTATTTGGATGCTAAAGTGCAGTAGGAATTTAATTTTGCCGGGAATTTTATGAGAATACTATTCTGAATATTAGTGTACACATTCCCATCATTACAAAATTTTCATTTCAAAATATAAAAAGATTTCTTTTTTATTTCACATATTTTGCCAATATAACTTTTGAATTTATAAAGTAGGAAGACAATTAATCAATATATTAACAATATATAGCATTACTTATCAAAAGTAATGTAATTTTATTAGCCAGAAAGAGTATATATGCAATAATATATTAAAACATACTGATGGTAATGCAACATTTGAACTATGTTCAAAATACTTTTAGAGGAATGGGTGTCACAAGATATATTCTTTTTTTTTCTTCTGTGTGTTAACATTGTGTTCAAAAACTATTAATATCAGAAATGCATGCTCTTTGAAACTTTTGACCATATAAAAACATTTTAATTTTAAAAAAATGCAATTTTCAACTAGACTCTTAGTGCACCAACTACTAATTTTGTGAAAGATATCAGTGTTTTAATTCAAATAATATGTTAATTAAAGTCATTTGTATATTAAAATCCTGTAACTGAAAAATGCAGTTGTTATGGAATTATTCATCATTTTATGTAATTCAAATAAAATAAAACATAATAGCATGCTTTTCTTTTGACTGAAATGTGAAATAATTCTACGATTTGCACTCCTACAGACATAAGCAACCAGTCTTCTTTCTTTTGCACATTTAAACTCACACTTTATAATCAAATAAAAATAATATAAAACTTAGCAAAAGTTTTTTTTAATTCATTCTTATGCAAAGCTCTTTGCAATATTTTTTTCTTCTTTCCAATAGGCATTGTAATATTTAACACTAAATAGGGCATTGTAATATTTAATACTAAATTATTTTTAAAAGTTTTTGAATGAGTTTAAAACAATCAATTCAAAGGGATTGAAAGGGGAAGAGAACTTATTCAGCAAGATGGAACTGGACTTTACAAATGTTTTTTTTAATTATATGAAATAATTCCACTGCATAAAATGCAATCTATCATACATCGGAATAATTTTAACAAAATACATATAATATATAAACAAATATATTTATTGTCAAAAAAATACCCTTGAAAAAATTGTGAAATATTTTTAAATATTATGATCAAATTCAACAAATTACTGAATTTATAAAGGAACTCAAAACATAAATATTCATACAATTTGATACATATTTTAAGGAATTACATACCTGGACCATTAAGAGCAGATAAAACAAATGTATATAGTTGACACTCACTATACTTTTTGAAAGATACTAATCTTTTCTGTAAAAAAAAATAAGTACATTAAAAGATATCATAATTTCTAAAGCCTAAATAAAAAAGTAACTTTTAATCAGAAAATAAACATTCATGATATTTTAATGTAATTGGTTTAGCAATTTTGTGATTGACAAATATAATTAAAATAGCAAAGATACAGTAGAGTAAAACAATAACATTTTTATCATAAAAGCTAAACTAAACTCATAAGTGCAACAGCTCAAGGAGAACAAAGACCTACTGTACCCATCCTGGTTTTCTTGACATCTGGGCTCTGGGTTACAGCAGCAGATTTTACAATTGAGTTGTCAACCAAATGTGGAATCCTCAGAGTTTAATCCTCAAGCATGCTTGGCACTCATTTTATCAAGCAACTGAAGCAATGAAAGGCTTAGTTAACCTTACCTGGACTGAAAATAGAACCCAGGACTTTTGACGTGCTACCACTAAGCCATTGGGCATGGGCATCTACTATAAAAGCCACATTATTATAATTTAGTTTTTTTTAAGACTATAATTGAAAGAAAAACCAGAACGACAATTTAAAGCTGAGCTCCTCAAAATGTTGAATTGAGTGAATATAATATAAAATACTATAATACTAAATATTGAAAAGTCATTTTTTTTAGTAGATATAGCCCCAGAAGCAGAAAGTGCCTAAAACTGTGACCTACGCCACAGAACAAACGAAGTCCTGCAGAACAATTTTAATCTTGAATACTTTTGTAACCATTTTTATCAAGAAAGCTTCTAAAGCAAGTCATAAAAGAGTTAAATTCCGAGATTTCAAATTTCATAAAGTTTATTAATTTTTATATTTTCTATTCCCATTTCAGAAGCAATTTGTGAATCGTGGGTATCCACAATTGACAGAATTGTTTCTAAAAGATCAAATGCTTTCGATGGAGATGAAGAAGTTGTTGGAACAACAGACCAGCGAATGTTTGTGTTTGCAAATGGTGCACCATCTGGGCACTTGTCTCTTCGAAAGATTTTTAAGGCAGACCTTATTTTAATGTTCGGACCTTCATATCATAGGCATTTTATTAATAATTCATCATCATCATTAACAAAATTTTTGACTTCAAAAGGGACTGAAAAACTAACAAATCAAGAATGTTTGCCTTGGTTTAAAAATTGATTCAGTGTATCTGTGTATGATCCCTTATTTTAATAATTGAAAATATAGTATTTTAACGTAAAGTTGACTTTTTTTCGCTGTGAAATGCTTGCAGAACATTTGTATAAATTAATAAATTCTGTTGCAGAACATTTGAAAATATTCTGCTTTTGGAGATATAGCTGCATTGAGAAATACAAATGGCAAAACATTCTGAATTGAAGTACATTTATCAAACTTACTAATAAATGAACAAACTTGATTTAATGATAAAAACTTTAAAATTTATTGAATTAAACTTAAAACTTATTTCATTTTTATCACTATAATTTTGATTAAGTTGATAATTGAAAATTTCAAGCATAAAAAAATCCTAAAAAATTTATATTCTTTTTGAAGATCTAATAAATTTAAAAGAATTAAAACAATTTAAATTGATACAGCATTGAAACCCTCTTTTTGAAAATAAACGATTAAATTACGCATTATTAAGAATTAGACTGCATTATTAAGAATTCGAGTACAACAGCTGATGGCGAATTGAAGCCTACCCAGTTTCAGATTGATAGATACCAGCTTGTCTGGGATGTAAAGACGACTGGTATAGTAATGCTGACCACATTGCTGCTATCATGCTATTGGTTACAAAATTGTGAAGTCTTAATCTCCACGACCCCTTTGGCCCATAATGGGTTGTTGTGAAAATGTTTTACTTTGTAGTCATGGAGAGTAAATTAGGTTGCTTCTATATCAGTGTGTTGGAAATAAAAATATATTCTACTTTTATTATAGGTTATTCAGGTATGAATACCAACAAATTAAGATTAGTTGACTCAGTTATTTTTGAAAATATATGAATAGATATATTCTACAAACATGTGTCACTTAAAAATAATCTAATTATATTATAATGAAAATTTTAGATAATTATTAGATGAAAATCTTATACAAGTTTTGCATAAATTAATTTAATTTTTACTTGAAACTATCAAGATAATATCACATCATGGTTTTCATTTAGCTATATATAAAATATAAAAACCAAATTTTCAGTAGAGTTAGTTTTTTTTAATTAAGATTTACAAAACTTAAAATAGTTCATACCTTCCCCATGATAATCAAAGTAAGGTGTTCTAAATGTTTTACTCCCCTCCCAATATGAGTAATTGATTCATTAATAACAACTGAATGACAGTGGAATATTTTTTCAATTCCTTATAATTGAAAAAAATATTTGTTTTCATTGGAAATTTTTTTAAAAAAGCAGCTTTAATGGCAATTAATAAACAGAAAATAAAAAATGGATTTCTTAATATTGAGTAGAATTAACAACTTAAAATAGACATATAATTAAAAATCCATATGGAGCTTGCTTGAGTATGCAAATTATACAAATTTATGCCTACATGCTATATATCATACAACTAGATTACACAACAAAAAACAGACTATGTGAACTGATCAGCTCTTTCACAGCAAAACAAAGAACGTGAATATATATAACTATAAATTATTAGATATAATATAAACAAGTGGTTTTGCAGTAATATGGCTTCCTTCAAATTGACTAGAAAAATTTACGGTTTCCAAACTTTTTTTAAAAAAGAAATGTTAAAAACGTTAAATATGCAACACTTATTAATTAATGCTTATGCATACTGCTCTGTTTTTTACAGGACAAATCAAAAAAGAAACTTTGTAATTTTTTCAAAAGCAATTTATAAACCACAGCTGTCATTATTGTCTCTGAAAAGGACAAGACATTTAACCATGTCAGTTGTACTCTATTATAGGTGGTTTTAAAAATTAGAGAAATTAACAATTCCAGGAAAAGTCATAATAATGAATAGCGTCTAAAAATATAAACAATCAATTGAAAAAATCATAGAATATTGAACTGATAGCCAACTTATTAAACATTGGCCCAAAGTTGACACCAGAATTGACTGATATACAAGTTTTATAGATGTAATGTTATAAAATTAGTTTTCTTAAAATACATGCAAAATTTATCTATTTTGTTTCTTTTATCAAATAGGACCATTCTTTGTCCACATTTTATGATTTTTTACTGAATTAAAATGAGCATCACCTATTGCAAATTTCATTTGGTGTGATTAAGATGGAGAGTGAGAGTTTTTAATAATAAGAAGAGTATTAAAATATTAAGTATATAAGTGAAGTAAATATTGCACAGATTTCACACTAGCTTAAAACTTACTTAATAATTAAGATATTTTTGTTTAAAATCGAGACCTTAATAATTTGACTTAGATGATCTTGTCATGTGTAACTATACTACTGAGTCTTAATGTATTATATTAGTCAGAATCTTGACATTATACAGAATCTGATAAAGTATTAATAAAGTAAATTCACAATGAAAACCAAATTTTCTATAGAAAATATATTTTTTAATTTAGCCATCAGGTATAAAATTCCATAGGACTAAAGTTAAACTTTCAGAAATGATGAAAAAACTCTTTACAAACATAATTTGCATAATCAATATCTAAATCATAATATTTAATTACAGTCAAAGGAATAATTAGTTAATAGTCATTTCAATAAGAAATAAATTACCAAACAAAACTTTTGGTAAGATCAACTAAAGAGCCAGATAATAATGCCATCAGTGAATTGTTAAAAGATTAAAAACTAATCTTCAGTTTTCTGTTAACTATTGGGCTGATTATAACCATCTCTATGATAATGGAAGAAAATCTGAAGAAAATATTATACCCACAGCAAAACCACACACACACATCATCCGTTTAAAAGCAGCTCCAACTTTACTTTTCCTTGAAAGCTTTTCTTTACTGGATATAGATTCCACAGCGAAATTGTCTGGAAAAAATTAGTACATTAATATGGCTTCAATCTTTCAAAGAATTTTGTTTTAAGTTAGCAAAAAAATACAATATAAAAAGAAATTATTACCAGAGAGGAGGTACAATGACAAAAAAATTTCTCATATGCCCATTTTTTGGGACCTCATAAAGCAGGACCAAATATATTAGCAGGACCAGAAAATATACAGAAATTATTATGTAGTAACATAATTTATAAAAATGCCTTATTAAAGTTGAGTTTATTCAATGAAACTTAAACGCTAACCTTGAAATACTAAGTACCTTCTGAGAAGTTTTTTGAGAGGTTGTTAATGACTGAATCAAATTTTGATACAGCTGATATTGCATATTCAGAAAAATTTTCTTCTTTACACAAGTCAAAAAATTCAACTAACTCATCTCATCAAGATTAAATGAAGCAATTTTATGAGGAATACATTTTCATACATACTACAAAAATTATTATTAATAGTTATTGAATTTATTTGCAAATATCAGAAAACCATTTTAACTAAATTGAAAAGAAAGATTATTACTTATTGAACAAAATATTGTCAACATACTGTTAAAAAAAGAAATTTATAAATGAATTGGTGGACAGCATAGATTACCTCCTGTATCAGCTTGTTGAACCACAGGAAATGCAGCACTAAAAGGTACTTCAGTGACAAAATTTGGAGCCATTGCTTGAGGCTGAACTGCTGAAAAATCTGAATTGTTAAAAAAAAAAAAAAAATAGATTAAGATAGATTACAGATTAAAATAGATATTAGTATGTGTATATAGCTAATTTTAAAATACCAGTTTATAAAATGGACAGAATCAACCTTTTCTGATTCGGTCAACCATTAACAAAAGTTCGAGAACAGTTTTGACCCCTGTGGCAGACTTTTTCCGAGCTATCTGCGACAATTCTCTCTAATACTAATACCTTTCTGAAAGATATTTTTAATAGTAGCAAATACATACGAAATTAATTTAAAGTAATAGAAGTTCTTTCTGTTAACAAAAATAAAAAAATATAAAAAAAAATCCTTCATATATAGCATAGAACAGTATATATAGTTTTTTAATTATAAATCTAAGAATTTTTGTTTTAAATTATAAAAGAATACATGTTTAATATTTTTGGCTATATTCTCCTGTTCTACAAAATACTTGCGAAGTTAATCTTTTTAAAATTTTTGCTATTAGGAAATTACTTCTTTATAATATCCATCTGAAATTCTAGCTAAAGCCAGTCATTGCAGAATTTTTTTATTCTCAAAAAAAAGTAGAAAAAAATCACGAGCCACTTTTTTCTCCTCCGATCTGCGATAAAGACATTTTTTTAATACAATTCTGCAGAAAGGAAAAAAAAATTTTCATTTTCTGCGACTTTTAAGTTATTTTAGTTAAAATCCTAGACATTTCTCGAATTTTTCCAGATTGATAAAATTCTCTGACTTTTTCCTGCTCTTTGGCTGCTCTATATACACAAATGGTAATTTTTGACATAATCACAATAAAGATGAAAGTATTTGAAGAAAAATCTAGGCGGCTTAAAAACAATCGTTGCCAATGCAACGTTTTCTGACGTTGGAGTTTGTTATTTGGGTTTCAAATATTGGATGTAGAGATTATGGTACTGGAAACTACAATCAAGTTTGTTAGTAAGAATGGGCAATAACATATACACCTCTGCTTATACTTGGTAGTCTATACGGAGCAATATTTTTGACAAGAGATAAAATTAAATTATTCAAACTTATTTCAGAGCTTCCAACATAAAAGTGAAAAAATCCAGTAAATTTCAGAACTCAACCGAAATTTTACACAAAAAAAGCACACTATTTCCATACCATAGAATATGACAGAAATGTTAGGAATTCTTTAAAAATTTATAAAACAAAAATAAATACAATACTGAAAAAAAAAAGAAATTAAAATTTGGATTATTTGATAAACTCTGCACTTGCAAACAATTAATTCCTTCAACTGATAAACCAGATATTAAAAAAAATCCATAATTGCAGTGTTAGGTAGGCAGTTTATTTACGTCACACTAGAGCTGCACAATGGGCTATTGGCGACGGCTTGGGAAATACCCCTAATGATGATTCAAAGACATGCCATCGCAATTTCGATCCTCTGCAGAAGGGATGGCTCCCCAGTTTTCATTGCCCGACGACCTGCGGGAGAAATAAAGAACTTAGGGGTAGAACAGTTTATGAAGACTGATACCGTACATACTCGACACAATGGGCTATTGGCGACGGCCTGGGAAACATCCCTAAAGATGATTCAAAGACATGTCATCGCAATTTCGATCCTCTACAGAAGGGATGGCTCCCCTATTTTTGTAGTCCGACGACCTACGCATGAAATAAAGAACTTAGGAGTAGAACAGTTTATGAGGACTGATACCGTACATCCTCGGCACAATGGGCTATTGGCGACGGCCTGGGAAACATCCCTAATGATAATTCAAAGACATGCCATCGCAATTTCGATTCTCTGCAGAAGGCATGGCTCCCCTGTTTTTGTAGTTCAACGACCTGCGCATGAAATAAAGAACTTAGGAGTAGAACAGTTTATGAGTACTGATACCGCACACCCTTGGTCCCTACGCAGGCCAATCAAAGTGGTCACCCACCCGCTTACTGAAAGTAGTCAGTTATTCCAGAATTTAGTGTTCTAATGAGAACCACGTTTTATGATCAATCCACTACGTGGACAAGACAAAACTTAAAGAATGTACAATGGAATCATAATTATAGTCGTTATTTTGCAACACAGATATGTTAAATGTATATGTAGACAAAGTTAGGATATTTGAATAGGAGAAAAAGACTTTGTTCAAATACATTTCAACGGATGAATTAAAAGCACATAAGAAAAATAACATTATACCTTCTTGTGGGTAAGGGACAGCCTGTATGAAACCTCCACCTAAAACTGGTTGATTCAGAGACATCAAATCAGATGAGGGCTTTTCTGAGTTCATTATTTCTTTTGGCTTTGCAGAGGGACTCACATATACAGGAAGTGGTATGAGGCTGGGAACTTTGGGGATAGCATCGGGAGTCTGTTTGGCTAGTTCTTTCAACCTCTGCTCCTGGGGAATAGGTTTTTCAAAATTAATACATTCCAACATCAACGTATGAATCTATTCAATTTCATCATAGTACAGTCAAACCCCGATAGTGAACCTTCAAGGAACCAAAATTTCCGTTCACTATAACCGGGACTTCACTATATCCGTTCCACAATTTTAACTCATGGTTCCTAACTCCCTCCTTTTATAACGCATTATTCAAATAAATGACCCATAAAATGAAATAAAAAAATGACTGAAAAATAAAACGTAGTATCAAAAAATTTATTAACTTATATTTTTTTATTACCTTTCGACTTGTGTACAAAATAAATTTGTAATCTTTAGCTGATGAGCAATCTTCAACATCAGATATGGAAACACTTCCCAACTCTCCAATAATTTTTCCCTGAATTTATTATAATCCGCTTTTTAAACCTGTATCATAAAAGTAGTCTCACCAACTTTCTTAGCAAATTCATAGACTTTGCCTTGAAGCATTTGTCCAGATACTGTAAGCTTGTGGCTTCTTTGAATGCTGAACCAATTCAATAATGGTATTCAATAATAAAGCAAATAAGACAAAATACTTATTGCTACATTCTATGCTATAAATGGTTTTAAAAATCGGTATATGAATTCATTCTTAAGTAGAAATTTCAAAATTATTACAAAAAAATGAAAATAAATCAGACGAAAGTTCATAATATCCAACTTCCTCTCTTTTTTTGGTTCATTACAACCACAAAGAGTAACATTATACATGTGTAGCATGAAATTTAATTCTTTCTCGTCTACATCTTTTACTTAACTTAGATTTAATATTTGTTTATGTATTTTATTGTAACCATGATATATTTTTGTTTTCTGTACCTGGCAACTTCGATTAGTTTGTTCATGTTCCATGTGGCTCCGTCTTTGTGTTAAGTAAGAAATATAAAGTGAGAGAATTAAAATCTTTGTGAAAGTATATAGTCTGTGTCACCAGGACCCGACTTAGCCTAATTGGGGCCCGGGGCAAAAATCTCTTTGGGGGCCCCCCCTAGCGCCATATGTGCTTAGCCTTAGATGGTCGGTCAACCGTCCATTACTATGTAAAAAAAACTGAAAATAATAACATTTATATTGACCTTGAATGATAATGTTTATTTTTAAATCAACAAAATTTTAACATGTTTATTACTTACTCAGTTTTAACCAATATTTACAGAGGGATGTAACAGAGGGAGATTTTTAATCCTGTGTTTAGCAAACATGAAAATCTATTTTGTAATTTTTCATATGGAATTTTGCAATTTGTTAAGTTTGTAATTAATGTGTCACATAACTTGTAGTGACAGTTAATAATGTATTCATCGCGTGGCTCAAGGTTAACTTCATGTGCATTTCCATCATCTAACAGTCTACTTCGAGGTGTAATTTTTTTTCTTTTTGCCTCATACATACTGTTTTCTGACAAAATTTGCAACGCTTCATCTTCATATTTGTCAAATTCATTTCGAACTGACTGCACGAAATTTATTAAAGAGTCAAATAATGGCGATACTATCTCTAATTGAGCATTAGAATTTTGCAGAATTTTACTTGCTTGATGTAATCTTTGTAAAATGCTATCCCACACAACTGTATTTAGTGCATTTTCAATCTTAAGTAATTTTTTATAAAGAGCTTCATTTCTAGTGGAAGGAGTTTGGTCTTGGTCGTCTGCCAAATAACTCAAAGATTTTAAAACCGAAGCGTAGTTTTGACGCAATGCCTTAGTAGCATTTGCATCAGCACACCATCGTGTACATGAACAATTTTTTAAGGTCAGTTTTTGCTTACTTCCTTTAAAATTATCAATCACAATCTGCCATCGGTATGTTGAAACAGAAAAAAAGTTATATAATTCTTGCAGTAAAGAAAAAAAATTCACAACTCTAATACAGGATTCTACAGCATTTATTCCAACCAAATTCAAAGAATGAGCAGAACATGGTACGCATTACGCAGTAGAATTAATATTTTTAATTCTTGCTTGAACAACTGAATATTTCCCTGCCATGTTGGAGGCATTATCATAACTTTGGCCCCTGCAATTTTGTATGTCCAGACCTAAATCTTCCAAAACTTGCAATATAACATTGGTTAAACTTTCTGCATTGTGACCAAAAATTTTTATAAATTTTATAAACCTTTTAACAGGTTCATAATCAGGACCAAGATATTGCAAAATTAAAGTTAATTGGTCCATATGGGTAACATCTGGAGTAGAATCCACAATAATTGAAAAATACTTGGCATCTATAACTTCTTTAATAACAACATTCAAGACTTTTTCACCCATTAATTCAACAAATTCATTCACAATTGTTGATGATAAATAATTAACATTGCCAGTTCCTTGATTACCAGCTTTTTCGATATGCTTCGCAAGAAATGGATCAAACTGGGCTATCAATTCAAGGCAACCCAAAAAGTTCCCATTATGAGTTGAACCGAACGTTTCATTTTCCCCAAAAAAAGCCATACCTCTTGATGATAAAAATTTAACTGTTTCAACAATTCTTTGTAATACTGACCGCCAGTAATGTACTTCACTTTGATATTGCTTGATTATTGCAGAATCAATTCTTTTTTCAGTTTTAAGTCTCTGGGTAAACTTTAAAATTGATTCCCTGTGCATAAAAGAATTTTCATGCTCTGTAAGTCGAATGACAACATGCTTCCAATCATCGAAGCCAGATGTTGAAAGGCTAGTTGTTGTGTTTCCAAATAATTTGCAAACCCAGCAAAATAATTTCTTTTCTGATGCTGATAATACCAGCCATTCTCTTGCCAATTTTTCACCATTTTTTTTAATTTTAAAAAAATTAATTTTGGTTAAAAGACGTTTGCCTCCATTGAATATTTTCACAGTGTTTTTTACCAGATCCATATTTTGTGGAGGTGGCTTTCTAAGAAAATGATCGATCATATCATCAGTGATAGTGTGCCATTTAGCCGGATCATCAATCGGCACTTTTCGCTGAATGTCCTTTTCAGGTGATAAAACATTTGCGGTAAAACATTCTTGTTCTTGGTGCACTTCATAATCGGCAGCCGGATCATTGATTGGTACTTCCTGTTTGTTATTTTTGGGCACCTCATCTGCAGAAGCACACTCCTGTTCTTCGCGTTCATGGGGCTTTTTATCACCAACATCTTGCAAATTGGGTAACGGTTGCATTTGTAATGCAGGAGAGATTTCCGATTCTTCTATACGTGCAGGAAAGAATTTTAAGATGCTCCCTTTAGCCTTTTTAGCTTGAAGTTCTCGAGCCTTTTTATGTTTCCTTTCCTGGCTCCCAGACATGTAAGACCACTCCATTTTTTATTGTAGCTTTAATACAGTATAATTAAGAATTTAAGCAAAATAAATTATTCCCTATAAACTATACCATAATAATTAAGCAACTATGTGCATACGTAAGAAATAAACAACCACTTCTAATTTCCAAAACAAACACTATTTTTAAGGAAAAAGCACACCCACCCACAGAACACAAATACTATCATCAAAACCTAATTAAAATATTTTAATAAGCTTGGAGAGATACACATAAAAATGAATTAATTCTGCTTTAAATAGATATAAGAATTAAAAAAATAACAACGTGTATACCTAAAAAATGTCAGCAAAATGTTTAAGGTTCAGCTCTGCTACCCTGAAGTTATTAATCAAAAAACAAAGCAATTTTATCACCTTGTAACAAAAAATATTTAAACTATTCTGACCTATTTATAAATCTGGCATCACAGTCAATCTAATTTATTATGGGCTAAGCAAAAAAATCAAAAATTATGTATAGTATGTATCATAATAAATAAACAATATCTGTAAACAGAAACAGAACTTACTCACCACCTATAAGAATCTAAAGTTTTTTCAAATAAAGAATGACATAGTTTAGCCGAAATTTACCATAAAATTAATAGAAGCTCAACACGAAAATCGACCATTAGTACTTAAAGAAATTAAGAAAATGTAAAATGTGTTTCAAAAAGGCATCAAAATCCGATAGACTTACATTTGAAAGCGCGCTACCCGATTGATTGTAAACAAAGATCGTGAAGTCATGTGATCAGTTAAGATACGGTTGCAGTCATCACTGTGCGGTATCATTCGATATTTGGGAAGGGATCCGGAAGATTTTTATAGTCTTGCAAATGAAATTAATTAATGAGAAGAATATTTCACATTTTTTGAGAAAATACAACTGATAATTTATTGCTTTGATTTCTCAGTGCTGCATATCACATTTTGCGATATGTAAAAATACAGGCTGGAATAGCTGAATTATGTCCTAGGAAGCCATGGATTTACGAAATTTAGATTTTCTGTGCTCATACGATAGATTAATGAAGAAGCTAATTTTACACTGAACTGATATTCGGTTTAAAAAAAAAAATATTAATGAAAGTAACGTAAAATAAACTTTCTAGTTGATTTTGGGGCCCCCTGATGTCGGGGCCCGGGGTGACTGCCCCGCATGCCCCTGCCTTTCTCAGGCTCTGTGTGTCACTTAAGACATTTGATACTTGACGGGATTGGCTTACTCGAAATAGAATGGAAAGAATAGTTGCTACCGTAAGCAAATGCCACGTTTCAACAATCGATCAGGATAAGGCTACTATACTAGGCTCTAGATCAGGATAGATTAATAGACACTACGTCACTTGCAGGTATCCCATTTCTTCACAAGTACCAACGGGAAAACAGAGTTATATGTGAGAACCAATCCTTAAATAAAGCTTCCAATGAACTTAAATAAAAATTTAAATCCACGAAGAACAGTTCGAAAGTTGATTTGAAGTTACAAAGAATTATTTAAACTTTTAACTAGATCGAGTACGACAAGGTTTTTTTTTTTTCGTTTAGAAGAATGCATTTTTTTATATTTTTATTAGTTTTCGCCGGGACTTTCAGAAACATTCAATCTGAATATAATTTAACCATTGTTCACATAAGTGATTTCCATTCTCATTGGTTTGAATTTAACGAACACGAAAATATTTGCTCACATCAAGAATCTAAGGAAGGAAATTGTTTTGGTGGATTTGCACGTCTTCTTACAAAGGTAAAAATGTTCCACTTTAATGCCTAGCATATTCCACTTTTAATACATTCTTATATTAATTGTAATCTGGGTAATACAAATTGGAAGATTGTTAATTTTATAACCGTCGTTGAATAGATGACCCAATTTTCGGGTTTATGACTACCAATGTTTATCTCCGCAGCTTTGTAATTTTGAACTATATCTAGAAGATAAGGAAACTCCTTGATCAAGTACTGGGAGAAATTTGAATTTGTGAAGGACTTTTCGATGGAACTTATCCGCACATTTGCGTTACATAGAGGAAACCCACGAAAATCTCACAGAGTTGACCTGACGGCAAAGGGACTCTAACCCATGATCCGTCTACCACTGAGGATATTTTACATCAGCACTGTGGTTGGTGCGAAATTCGCATCGATCAGCTATCGCTGGGATTCAAACCAGGTTGGCCTCATTGGAAGGAGAACGCTCTATCCATGGCTCTGCTAGATAGTTCATCTTATAATGCTCGTTGAACAGCCGCCTCAATTTTGGCCTTACGACTTTTAATGTTCAACTCTGTAGCCTTGTAATTTTGAACCAAATCCAGAAGACAAGGAAACTCCTGGATCAGCAGACTATTCATTTACAAAAATCTTGATTAAAATATATTTGAAAGGCGAAACCTTGGCGAAAGATAACTTTTTCTTAGGGTTAATTGAGCTTACTTGAAAAGCACTGTTAAATAAGATAGTACTGAGGTTAAAGCGCCCCCTGATTTGGCGACAAATTTCAATAGTAAAATGTTTGCTGAAACTCAGTTTTTGGTTATCATGATGTTCCTTTCTTACTGTTTCAGTTTTTAATGACGTCAGCATCCACAATTTTTTATCGTTATGTGATTGATTCTTGGCTTATTTTCATATGTATATACATAGGCATGTTTTCAAATCATCAAATATCAGAGGCCTCCCAATTTTACACCTTCACCGGTTCTGATAATAATAAAAAAATTAAACGTAAAAATTAAAACATAAAAAAATTACAATCTGAATAAAAAGCTCGGGTTTAGAGTAGATTTGGGGGCCCCTTGTTTTGATTATAATTCTTCTTCAGTTTTGCAAAACATTAAAAACTAAAGTCGTCAAAAAATTAAGACGTTCGCCAAATATTTATTTTTTTATTTTATATATTTCTTAAGCACAAAAACTACATAAAATGAAAATAATTGGTAATTTGGGAATGTGCCGTCGACCTGTCAGCGCTCGCGAAAATGCGCAACTCCTTTGGCGCCATCATTACCTAAAAGAAACATTCGAAACACATTTCATTTATCAAATAATAACAATAATATAATAATAATAATGANATAAAATGAAAATAATTGGTAATTTGGGAATGTGCCGTCGACCTGTCAGCGCTCGCGAAAATGCGCAACTCCTTTGGCGCCATCATTACCTAAAAGAAACATTCGAAACACATTTCATTTTTCAAATAATAACAATAAAATAATAATAATGGAATAATAATAATAAAAAATGAAATAATAATAATAAAAAATGTAAGTGTAAAAATACGTCATAAAAAAGTGTAATAAAAAGAGTCAAAACAAAGTAAAAACTTCTATTTCTTCATAATTACACATTGAATTATTCTTCAATCTAACCCTATATATATTATTATAAATCATTTCGGCGGCCAAAAATCCTTGATAGCTTTTAAAGAGCAAACAAACAAGTCAGTATATTTCAACATGCTAAAGAAAACTAACTCGCGTAGTTAAGGATTACACAGTAAATAAAATAAAATTCGCGGTTATTGGCGCGGGAACTACCTTTCTGCGATAATATCGGGTTTGGCGAAAATAGTCGACGGAATAATACCAAATAATTAAATTAAATAAAATAAAAATTATAACATTTAAATAAAATAAAATCAATAAATAAAAAAGTTAAGTTTCCTTGCACCGGGCTAATCGAAAAGTGCCGTTGACGGAGCTGAATTTTGCATACAATTGAAATTTGAAGACTGTTTTACACTTTTAAACAATTTTTTTTAAGAGTTTGTTACAGTTAATTATGACTGTCGGGTCGGGCTAAGTATTGCCTTTCAGCGCCCTCTTTGAAACTAGCCCAAAACATTAATAAATAAAAAAAGACATGGAGTTCAGTGAGAATGAAACTCGTTTATGATGCAATATTTTAATATCTGAAACGTTGAAAAGTTTCGTCAACGCTGCATTATCTGATGGGCTCATAAAAGCCAACTAATTATTAACCGATTTAAATCTACTCATCAAATATTCTATTTTTAAAAAATTTTACTAATTTTGAAAATGCTTAAGTTTGTCCGTTCTTTATGGCAATATAGTATACATAGTTTTTTTAAAATTATTTATTTATTATTTACCTCGGCAAAAAATTCACTCTAAGACATGCTGATAAACAAAAAAACTTCGAAATAAATCCATTTAATTTGCAGTTTTTCACTACCACGGAAACCTCATCTTTTGTAATAAGAACGTTTATTTTTATAAAATAAAAAATAAATATTCAAGTAAATTCTTAAAAAAGAAGGTGCCGAAAATTTATAAAAGATATCGTCGCCATAGCACAAACCTGCAATGCTCCGGACGAATGACTAGGAGAGTTCTTTATATAGACAAACTATAAGTTCTCTCAATTATTCCACGGTACGTAAAAATGCGTTCGGTTTTGCCTCTCTCGGTTAATGAGGTTTTTCAATTTTTTTTATCCCCTATATTTATTTTCCATTTCTCGAAGACAACTTTAAGTTTTCTGTATCAAATCTGGTCAAATTTTATGACTATCTTGATAAATGTTTGTGAAGAAAATGAATATCATAAATATTTTTTTAACGGATGTTCTAGGTACGAGAGTTGCGTGAGAAAGAGAAGAACATTTTAGTTTTGTCGTCAGGAGAGTTCTTCTACGGTTCTTCTCATCACACTTTGCACGGATGGAAAATAGCCAGTCTTCTTCTTTCCAAATTAAAACTAGATGCAATGGTAAATATGTTTTACTAATAAGTATTTTAAGTAAGGGACGTTCGTTGTTGTTGTTGATTTACGTCGCACAAGAGCTGCACAATGAGCTATTGGCGACGGTCTGGGAAACATCCCTGAGGATGATCCGAAGACATGCCATCACAATTTTGATCCTCTGCAGAGGGGATGGCACCCCCGCTTCGGTAGCCCAACGACCTGCACGCGAAGTCGAGCACTTTACGGTAGCACAGTTTAACGAGGACCAATACCGCACACCCTCGATCCCTACGCAGACTGATCCAAGTGGTCACCCACCCGCACACTGACCGCAGCCAGTGATGCTTGACTTCGGTGATCTGATGAGAACCGTGTCTTAACGATCAGTCCACTGCGGGACGTAAGGGACGTTCGAAAATAGAAAAAAAACAAGTGAAAGGAAATTTTCAAGAAAGAAATTTATTTTCAGATTCTACATACTTTTCTTTCAATTAGTTGCCAGAGCCGTAATGGCTCAAGGGACAGAGCGTTCGTCTTCCAAGGAGGTAAACCGGGTTCGAATTCCAGCGATGGCTGGTCGAAGTGAATTCCGCACCCAGCTCGCACCATCCACGGTGCTGACGTAAAATATCCTCAGTGGTAGACGAATCATGGGTTAGAGCACCCTTGACGTCAGGCTATAACCACGGGAGGTTCTCGTGGTTTTCCTCTTCGTGTAAAGCAAATATGGGTTAGCTCCATCAAAAAGTCCTGAAGGAAGGCAAGTTTATCCCAATACTTGATCCAGGAGTTCCCTTGTCTTCTGGATTGGGTTCAAAATGACATGGCTACGGAGCTGAATATTAGTAGCCGTAAACCCAAAATTGGATTGGTTGTTCAACGAAGGTTACAAAATATAAAATGAAATAGTTGGCAAGTTTGTTTTTAAACACTTATCCTACCTTACCATTAGATTTAGAATACTTTCTTCATACAAACTTGCCGCCTGCTCCGTTACCAAAGAGGTCATGGCTTCAATTCGTCAAATAAAGCTGAGTCATTTTCATAGCGTATGCTGACAGGGAAATTTGCTACTTCACAAATGTGCCAGGGAATGCATGCAGGCTGACTAAAAACGCATCACTGATCGTATCTTGAACATTTTAAAGACACACCGTACAGTTTACTTTATAAGCTGTTCCTAAGAAATGCTTCTAAGGGTGACGGCATTTTATTTTTGTAGGAGGAATAAATTACTAATATCCCCGTATGTATATAAAAATTCGAACTAAATGGTTATTTCATGTTTTATTTTTTAGAGCTTGTCTAACCACGATTTTGGAAGAGGAATTCTGGAATTATCAGCATTTTTGTACAAGTTGGATTTTCCTGTACTCTGTGCTAATATGCAGGCAACGAAATCGTCCTTTCTTCACAGCCGAATCAATAAGAGCATAGTTTTAAATGTAAATGATGAAAAAATTGGCATTATTGGCTATTTGCACCCGCATGCTATCAAAAAGTCGAGACCAGGTAAAAATGTTATGATAACTTTAAAAAATTTGATTGAAAGATTTTATTTTAGAGTAATGATTAAAAAAAAAAATAAGAAGAAGCTATACAACATTCGAATACGGGGGAGAACACCGTTTCCATTTTCCCACTCCCAGATAGCAAAGTAAGGTTTATTTTAACTCAGCAAAAACCTTTCAATGTAAACCTAAAAAGGTTTGTTATGCGGTTTAAGTGTAAACCTTCTAACCTTAAAACGAGATCTGTGACCATCTGCTCTATTCTACGCACCCTAACCCAGTGTTTCCCTAAGTGTGGTACGCGTACCCCCAGTGGTACGGGAACAGTTTAGCCGGGGTACGCGTTCTTATGCGAAATATCTTGCAACAAACGAAAATTTTAAAAACAAAGCTAGCCATGCAAATTTACGATTTTGTATTTTTCTATTGGCTATTTTTGCAGAGTAAATAATTATTGGTGTCAACAGCCAGTTGCGATTTGTAACTTTTGCGCATTTTTTTTTTTTCTAGTAAAAAATACATTCTTTTTTCTATTAGTGGTACAGAGCGTTACGAAAATTTTAGAAAGGGTACACAAAAGTCGTAAGTTTGGGAAACACTGCCCTAATCCAAAACCTTGGAAAAGAAGCTTCTATATAAAAACCTTAAATCGAGGTTGACTTAGGATTTTCAAGCTTAAAAAAATCCTTTAACAAAGCTATAGTCTCCAGGTGAAAATAATCTTAAATCTAGTTAATTCTAAGGTTTTTTTTCGCAAAGTCTTGCATGCTCAGCTAAAATCCACCTTGTCTTGAAATTTTAATGGACAATGCAATTTGATCCTATCGCTAGTAAGACGTCGGCTAAAACGTCATTATGGACCTAAGGGACAATACTTTTTTAAAAAAATAATTTTTAATCCTTTTAGGATGAAAGGTTTGAATTTTTTGCTCTATTGAAAAAAGGTTTCAAATGTGTTCTCAACTTCAATGAAGGCTCAAATGTGTTTCATAATACTTTCTGCAATGTCTAAAATATATTGCGTAATGCTTACTTTAAGCATGATGCTGTTTTGAGTTACACGTAGTTCTCAAGCTTAAAAAATTTCAATATGATTAAAAGCAACATTCTTTCAACAGCTTGCGGAAGCTTAGGTAATGCAAATACCAAGACGCCCGTTGGCAGAGTGGTAGCTCTCGTGTCACAGAACCTGGGTTCGATCCTCGGGGCCGGGCAAAGGTTAACTCAGCCTTTCATCTCTTTAGTGGGTCGATAAAATGAATACCGAGCATTCTTGGAGACTAAACACTGGGGGTTAACCATCAGGCCGGAACATCTGCACTCCAGAGGTCAAGAAAACTTATATAGGCACAAGTTGTCCCTTTATGGGTTGTAGCGCCACTGAGTCAATATCAACCTACCCATTGAATTTCAATGAAGATAAAACTTCCAGGAACATCCATTGAAAAACAATATGTAAAAGTACAGCCGGTATAGTTAACTTGAGACCATAAATTTCTCCAGAGGTTTCCTTGGAACTCTATTTTCTATACCGATTTGCCTTCTTAATTTTATTAGGCATTCATTTGAAATTTGTGATACACCCATCAAACATTTATATCATGTACTCTTTCCTGTAGCCGTGAGTGTAGAAATTCTTCCTGAATTACCCATCATTGAAGAGGAAGTAGAAAAACTCCAAAACAAAGGAGTCAACAAGATAATAGCACTTGGACATTCAGGGTATTACACAGACTTAAAAATTGCCAAACAGGTCACGGGAGTGGACATTGTCGTCGGTGGAAATTCGGACATTGTTATGGAAAAACCATCAGGTAACAATACTATATTATACTATACTGTATTATAATAGACTATACTGTAGTATATTATACTATACTAAACTGCACTGTATTTTATTTTTATTTTATATCCGTCGCTGAACAGTCGACAAAATTTTTAGTTTAAAACTACTAATGTTCAAAGCCGTAGCCTTGTAATTTCGAACCCAATCTAGAAGACAAGGAAACTCCTGGATCAGTACCCCCATAGGTATGATTTGTTATGGGAAAATGCTATGAGAAAACGTGCATCAGTCACCATTTACAACTTCGGCCGGCAGGGATCGAACCCACAACCTCTTGGACTTGGGCCCAGTACCCTACCAGTCAGGCTATCCCGGCCGCTATACTGCATTATATATTATATTATGTAATGTTACATTATATTATGACACTCGGTGGCTGAGTGGTAGCGCTTCGCGCTCTCGTGCCACAGGTCCTGGGTTCGATCTCGGGCTGTCCAAGATTGACTTCAGCCTTTCATCCCTTTAGTGGGTCGATAAAGTGAGTATCAAGCATGCTTGGGGACTAAGCACAGGTTTAACGCGTTTCGCTGACCACTCAACCGGAACATCTGCTCCTACACCCGAGAGCGCCCAAGGTCAAGAAAACTGAGATGGGCACAAGTAGGCCTTGGCGATCTATGGGCTGTCTCGCCACTGAGTTCAGTAGTTTAGTTTCATTATATTATAAAAACTTATTTCAAAATTTTTGAAAAAACTTAATTTAATTTTCGGATTTTATTAAAAAATATTCTATTTTCAGAGTTACAAAAAGAGTATCCGAGAGTTACTCTGAATGAGGTGAATCAGAAGACATTAGTACTTCATGTACCTCAACACGGTAAATATATTGGAGTCCTGAGAATCACTTTCGATGAAATGGGGAATGTCATAGCAGAAGATGGACAACAAGTTTTGTTAGACAGTCATGTACCACAAGGTAAACAAGCTCTTTACAAATTTGCTTTGTTACCTCATTTGAGCATGACAAAATGTGAGGTGAGAAGCTGCAAACAATACCAGCCTTCATCTATGAAACCCAACGAGTGTCTTACATTGGGTGTACAAATTAGTTCGGCCCGTTTTTAAAAAATGGCTCTGCTGTTATTAATGTTATATAGTGACAGCTGGTTTCGGTGGTTTCAGAGGGATTAAGCATCTGTCAATAATATTCAATTTACATCACTTTGAGTTTCATACAAAAACCCTGTTTTTTACTTTGTTGAATGTGTCAAATTTTGCGGTAACAAAGCAGCATTTGCGGGAGGTTTTATGTTTCTACTTTAATTGGAAGAAATGTGCAGCTGAAGAGCATCGAATGCTTGTAGAAGTTTATGTTGACAATGCTCCAACTGATAAATCATGTAGGGAATGGTTTCGACGTTTTAAGAATGGTTAATGGTGAATAAAGAAAGGCGAATGATAAATGGTGAATAATGTTGAATACTATAAGCTGCTACAAACTGGTGATTCCATTACGGGTGATTGGTATAGGCTACAATTGAGTCATTTGAGCCGTGCATTACGAGAAAAAAGGGCGGAATACGAGCAAAGACATGACAAAGTTATTCTTCTGCATAATAGCGGTCGGACTGATGTCTCAAAAGTCCTAAAAAACTACTTGGAAACGCTCAAGTGGGATATTTCATCACACCCGCTGTATTCACTGGACATTGCTCCTTCTGATTACTGGTTGTTCCGAAGGATGCAGCATGATTTTGCAGGTCACCAGTTCACTTATTTCGCAGAAATCGAAAATTGGCTCCTAACTTGGATCGCCTCAAAAGACGAGACATTTTTTTGAGATGGAATTCGAAAATTACCTGAGAGGTGGGAAAAATTAGTAGCCAGCAATAGACAATCTGTCAATTAATCTGTTCATTCCTTTCAATTAATCAATTTCAATCAATTAATCTGTTCATTCATTTTGTTCTAAAATAAATGCATTTTTGACCACAAGAAAAGGGACGGAACTAATTTGTACTTCCAATATATTAGTGAATTGGAATTATATTTTTGTAGTGGTGGATACACTACGCAAAACAAAGTCAATTTTTTCCCTTTATACTTTGAATATTAATGTTCTCTAAAACAAAATAATAATGACCCAACAATTATCATTTCAGATGAAGAGACATTGATTTTCTTGAGGAACGCCAGCCAGTTGTTGGATGAACTTGCTGAAGATTATCGGATACCTGACAGAGATGAGGTTTTGGCCACTGTAAAAGTAACTTTGGATGGAAAACCACGCAGTTGCCGAATGAATGAATGCACTTTAGGGAATTTTGTTGCAGATGCCATATTGCATAGGGTCAACAGAAATGATAACATCGACGCTGTTGTCATCAATTCGGGCATGATACGATATTCCATTCAAGCTGGTAAGAATTAATTATTAACTTTAGTGGTCGAAACTGTATAAGGAAATTTTGTTACCTATTCTTCTCAACTATTGATTGATATATTGAAAGTAATTCTCAAAACAAAATATGATAAACACAACTGAGTTCAGTTCTAAATTGAAACTCACCTCTCCAACTAAGTTTTATGCGGAAATTTAATTACTGTTACCGTGAATACCAACAATCACATTGTCGCTCTGGTGAATTATATTTGTTACATCCAATTTGATATTAATTTATTCGTTAATATTTGTTTGATATCTGGTGAGGGAAAAGAAACATCAGTGTTCGGCATGCGACTATGTGATTGTCAGCATTCACCGGTGGAAATCAACTACCATCCATCTTGATCATTCACAGTAACATCTATATCAGCATTTGAAACGTCATGGTTTACAACACAAACGGTTTTTTTTCCTTCTCTTAATTGAAAATAATTGCTAAGAGAGCAAGTGCAAATAAAATTCACTATGTTTTTTTTATATTTTTAAATCAGGTAATGTGACTGCGAGAGATTTAACGCATGCATTGTTTCTGGGCGATCTCCTGGACACTGTCCAAATGAACGGTTCAGAACTGAGAGAAATGATGGAACATTCAGTCGAAGAATACGACATCACAGGAATCACAGCCTCTGGAGCCTTTCTGCAAATATCTGGTAATTATTTGACGTATCTGTGAATAACCGGAATGGGTGGTCAATGTTCGAAATATATACTAGAAGTGCCACTGTCCGGTATACCCTGCATCCATGTTTTTTTTTAAGGTCAAGTGCCTTGACCTTAAGCGGTTCTCCTAATCTATTCTTACCAGATATTAAAATATCGAATAAATATAATAATATTCAACGAATATCAAATCGAATATTTCAGATATTCACCAAAGCGACAACGTGATTGTTGACATTCACCGGTGAAAGTCGACAATCTCTTGAATTTTGTCGTTCAGGTTAACATATCGACACAATTTTTCTCTAGACTCTCTCAGTTTATTTTAAGATAGCTCATTCATTGGGTATTTTTCTATTTTAGTCGAGCTTTGTATGAAGGGTAGTTAGGGAAAAAATTTCAAAAACACATGCGGAAATACATACATACTATGCAACATTTGATACATTATGGTTATAATTTGATTTATTTACATTTTAATGATACTTCAACTTGAAACAAATAACTCAACGAACTTCAACTATATTAATTTCAATGTTTGGAGTCACAACAGTATTTTACTTTAACATAAACTCGGTAAATGCATTAAAAACTAAAGAAAAGAAGCATACTTGGCCGATCTTTGTTGATCATCTCTCCTCTATGTTATTTCTGAAGCACCATTCGAACTAAAATAAAGCTCTCAATTATTATGCTACCTGCTAAATTAATTAGAATAATTAAAAGAAAAATGCAGAACAGTTGGTTTTTGAACTTTTCTATCAGTTTATTTTAGTTTTTCGTTGTCCACGCGAGAAACAAATTTTCATTCAAAACTTTGTAAACGTCTGCGTTTAAGCATTCGCGCTTATGATTACTCACTCCCTTGATATTTCAGTTTTTTGCTGCAGACGCAAAAAAAAAATTTAAAAAATTTTCATCCGTTTTTTGATATTTTACATGAATTAACATCAGTGTATCAGATAACACTAGGACGTTCACCTCCTGCCCGCTGCTCTCGGTACCTCCCAGAACTGCTTTTGTAGTTCCTTTAGGATTGCTTCGCTCACTACCTCCCAGAACTACTTTCGTAGTTCCTTAAGGATTGCTTCGATCGCCGTCTACCAGAACTTCTTTCGCAGTTCCTTTAAGATTGCTTCGAGCACTACCAGCCAGAACTACTTTCGTAGTTCCTTAAGGATTGCTTCGCTAGGATTGAACTGCTTTCGTAGTTCCTTTAGGATTGCTTCGCTCACTATCTCGCTAATTGGAAATACAACATTTTCATACTTTCATAGACTCATAAAACTTTTATTCTAACATAGACTCCAAAAATAAATTAAGAAAAGATATGGCAAGGAAATAAAAAAAAAAAGCTGGTCGATCTTTATTAATTAAACGCACTTTCCAAATTTTTGTTATGAATTTAGGTTGTACTAAACGTATTGCACTAGCGTTTTATAGTACGGTAGTATTTTATTACTTTATCTGATGTTAAATAATATCGTTTTGCTATCTAGCCTTTTCAAAACAAAACTTATTTCAAATTTGAAATCGAATTAGGCAAGGATCAAGTATTTATATACATACAACAAGAAATTTGTTCCCGAGCGGTATCAAATTTGGCAAAATAGTCGACGTGGCAGGACGAAACACTTCTTTAATGCTCTTTAGATTCAATTGACATATTATGGTGATTAAAGACGAAAATTTCGTTTTACACCAATCGTAGGAAAAAGTAAAAGTTTATACTTGTTTCAAAAATCGTTTGAAACTCTTTTACGACTCCTAGCCAAAAATATTCTACAAACTTTCGTCTTTATCTATTTAGACACATTGCATGAAAATATTTCGTTACTGTAAAACCGTTTTAATAAGTAAAAGATAAGTTCGGTTTGCGCGTGACTCACAGTTTAAAAAACTAAAGAAGAAGTCAACAAAAATATTTATTTCGAAAATCAATGCCGCTTATCGAGGCGCCCTCTCTAATCAAAGATTGATACTAAAACAAGCTACTAAGAAAAAAATTAAGTTCCATGTTAAATTAAAAATAACAAAATAAAAGTAATTAAATAACTAACAAAATGTTTGTAGTATTTTAACAGTACAACAAAATTGGTCGAACAGTAACTGAGAAATCGAAATAAATATATACGACTTTCTTAAAATCTGATCATTAGATCAAAAGTTATTCCGTTCATTGTACATGAAATAAATAAATAAATACATATATATATACAGTCGAGCCACGCTATATCCGGTTTCTGAGGAAAGGTGAAAACTTGGCAATTCGTTTATAGCGAAGTCTAATTTTGTTTCTTCAGCATATTTCCTTTTCTCTTTCATTTTTTCTAACTTCAAATTTGCTGGAGTTGCACTAAAAATGACGGCATTTCTTTACATCGTGTCAAATCTTACTCTTTTATGCTCTTCGCTTTTAAACTAGGGCTAAAAAATTGTTAAGCAGTACATACCATTTCTATGTTGATGGAAGGCTATAGGAAATACCGAATTCTTTACTAAATAATGATGAGAGGGTAGCTCAATGGCTAGAGAGTAGGACTCCGATTGAAAAGGGTTTCGGAGTTAATCCACCCACCGATTACATGCGATATACGTGCTCATAAAATCTGCGGAATCGAGGCCGGTCGCTGAGTAGTATAGGAGGAAAATTTCCTTCCCTTCAGAGATCTATGTCAAAATTGAGGAAATCGTCGCACAACTTGTGATGGCATGTCTTCGAATCATCCTCAGGAATGTTTCTCAGACCATCGCCAATAGCCCATTGTTCAGCCTTAGGGCGACTTACATAAAGTACCTACCTATTGATGTGAAAATTGGAATATAGTCGTTAGGAGATCACTATAATTCCTTCCATAGAATATAAAAATTAGTTTTTTCTTTTTAACATTCCCTCCATTTAATCTGTTAATAATTTACAAAGGCATTCTCTTTATTCGCAACAATACTGTGGATGATTGAGCTATTGTAAACAATCACAAGTTTCCTATACCCGGGAGAAATTTAAAAAAACTTCCTGTGTATTCCTCCGCTTATGTTACGTGTGAACAGGCTTAATATTCCTGGAAGTTTTATTACTGTGATTTGAGTTTAAATTGACGCGTAATTTTACCATTCGTAAGAGTTTTCTGTAAACATAGATTCTAGCGGGTAATGAGCCTAAAACAAAATTTAAGAAAATTAATATCACAGCATAAAGTGTAAGGTTTGCCCTGTTTTGAGTGTTATACCTTATTTGGTATATTTGTGTGCACTAATTGTTATTTTTTTGGGTAACATCATAGCTAGCTTGCGGAGTCTTCCGAATTCATTTGTTGAAAGAACGCATTATATTGTTGTTCCTTATCCTCCAATAGACCTTCAAAAAGGAGATGAAGAGAAGTGGAGTAGCGTATAAGTCCTCCTTGAAAAGGCCCAAGCAGTCAAGGATATGTTCGGCTGAGGCTTTCACATTTGGAGCAGATTGCATAAGTCTTTCTTCCCTCTAAGTAAGAGAGACTATTCGCGTGTCCACTTGCCAACCTGGAAATAGCTGTTTGAGACGCTCTATCACTTTTATGGCAGAGCGTTATATTGTAAACACTACGAGTATAGTAATATTGGATAGAACTTTTTTTCAAGCTTAGGCGAAAAAAAAAATCAATCGGAAGCAGTAACCCGGAAGTCTTACTACGAATTTCAACCTCTAGCGTCATCCATAAGGTCAACCATTCATTGTGATATGCTAAAAAAGATCAATTTTCAAAGAATTTGAGAACCACTGTACTTACCCAAATCAAAAATCTTGATGGTCCCACCAAAATATCTTGATGGTTTATGTTGGCTTCAGTGCGATTTATGATGGTTCAACATCATTTGATGGTTATAATCATCCAACATTTTCCATAATGCTTTCAGGGTTTTTGTTAAGCCAGCCTTCATCTCATGATGCTACTTTAATACTATGATGTTGAATCATCAAGAGATTCTTATGGACCAACAATCCATGATGGTTTAACAAGAATTCTTGCTTGTTCTCCAGAATATACCATCAAAACAATTTTTTTGTTGTTGTCCCATCATAAATCAGTCCGAATTACTAGATTGGGACGGTGGTTGTTCATGATTGTTCCCACATTTTATTTCTAAGAAAGTTTGAAGGAAATTTCTGATGGTTCAACATGAACAAACCATCAAAACAAGTTACTATTCTTATGTTGGACCCTCATAAATCAGTCCGAATTCCTACTTTGGGGTGATGGTTAATTATGTTAGTTACCATCAAGATTATGCTGATCCATCAAAATTTTTGACTTGCCGGATCCATGCGGTGCTCTACTACTTCAAACAAACAAAAGGTTGTTTTTGTTTTTCAGGACTTAGAGTGGTTTATGATTTAAATAAACCTCCAAATCACCGTGTAAAGTCTCTGATGATTCGAAGTGACCCATCGTACACCGAAGTTAAGTCAAGCAACCATTACCGTGTAGTAATGCCAAGTTTCTTGAGAAAAGGAAATGATGGTTTCAAAAGTTATTTAAAAGCCGACAATAATACATTCGGTATGTATTTCTCACCCATTCACTTTAAATAATTAGGCATGCTTTTAAGAATAATTTTTTTCTTACAATTTTATTTCATATGAATTTATATTAAAATCGTAGTTATAATTGTAAATACTAGAACAATTTACATTGTTTACACGATTATTCATCCGAGTAAAATAACTTAACGCGGAATATTTGCATCAACTTATACTTTAAGCATTGGAAATGAAATGAAATATTTCGAGCTATAAATAAAAATCTGATGATCGTGTAGCAGTTTTCCTTTGTTTTCTGTGTATTTTTATTAGCCGGAAAATCACATGATAGGATCCAGTTTACGCGCATTAATTTTCTTATTGGTTTGGCTGTCATCAGCATAAAATTGATAGAAGTCATAAAGGTATTGTTTTTCCTAGAAATATTTTTGTATTCCTATAATTTAAAGGTTGTACTGTTATTATTACGTTTCTGATTGTTATTTTCTAAATTAAGAGCGTAGGAGGAATGTTTTTATTATTATTATTGTTAGAATAACATAATTCTACATTTTAAGATAAAGTTCGGTGTAAGATCTCATTAACCGTTTTACAATTATTTTTTTTATGTACATTACAATACTATACTAATATGAATTACAGAAACCTTTTTAAGATTATTTTCACCTGGAGACTAGCTTTAATAAAGGATTTTTTCAAGCTTTAAATTTCTAAGACAACCACGATTTAAGGTTTTTATATAGAAGAATATTTTTCAAGGTTTTGGATTAGGGTAATGTACGTAGAATGGAGCAGATCTCGTTTTAAGGTTAGAAGGTTTACACGTAAACCGCATAACAAACCTTTTTAGGTTTACATGAAAAAGTTTTTGCTGAGTTAAAATAAACCTTAATTTGCTATCTGGGTTGTAATATTTTATTTTAATTTCAGGAGAGGACGATGTCACTCTTTTAATTCAATACATGAAGGAGTTTGAAATCATAAAACCGATGATCGATAAAAGAATATCCTTTTACAACCAAGAACCAGATCATCCCACCGATGAAAACGAAGGAACTAGAAAATACCCTCACAATGAATTTAAGCTTTCTACAATTTTTGGAATTATAAGTCCCTTACTGTCTGATTTAGAGAGATCGTTTTTGGAATCGGTCATCATAGAGACGGAAAAAGAAGAAACCATTCCATCGATTGATGCTTTGGAAGCCTACTTAAAGGTTAGGGTAAAACACTTCCTAAAGGTAGAAACCATATCCGTAGGTAGCCACGATGACATAATGACAAATTATAGAGATGGACGCGCTGCAGGAACCAGAGATACGATTTCAGAATCAGTCATTAATGGAACTAATGAAAAGCAAACCTTCTTGACTGATCCAGATCATGCCGATTCCATGTCTAAAAATACTTATGCAACAGCTGAAACATCCAGTATTCGTCCTTCTACGGAAGATGTAAAGGACGCCCAATCCATACACGAGCTACTTTTACACTCTTTAGTCCAGTCAATTATAGAGAAGGTAAAAGAAAAAGTGCAACTCGTGTGAAAATTTGGTGGTTACATTAAAAAAAAATTTTTTTTAAACAAATCTTTAGTAAAAGCCACGACTATCCAGAATTCAGTTGACCAGAAAGTTCAAATAATCGGAATTGTCTAAAATTTACTGATACACTCGAATTTCCATGGTAAAATGACCAATCGCTGCCCTTTAATTTCATTTTATTAACAAACATTTAGTTCAGAAAAAGTGCCACCCACCTGATTTATGTATATACGGTCGGACTTCTATTTAACGAAGTCGGAACATTTTAGAGAGAAAAGTGTGTGAGGGGGCAAGGAGAAGGAACAGCCAGGCCTGACTTTTCATTAATATATTCTGCATTTTGCCTAGAATGATACTCTCTGAGGAAAGTGAAGCATTCTAATAGAAAAGAATACAGTGTGAAGAAAGGGGACTCATGGAAGAGCAGTTCTAGAACTGACCTTCAAAAACTACAGAATTATAGAAATTCAATTCTACTGGTAACGCCTCTGCTTATAGGAACGAAGTTAAGGCCTGAGAAAAGAAGCAACTGATTTTTTTTTTTTTTTAACTAGAGTCGATATCAAAAACTATTTCCAAAAATTCTGCAGAATTAAATAAATTTGCATAGATTTTCAATGTGTGATAGGTAACTGTAAATTTATAGAAAGCAGTAAAATTTTTTAAAATTCATGATTTTATTAAAAATTAAACTGATCTGTAATAAACGGCGTTTGAAAAATCCCAACCCACCTAGGTCTTCCATCCTAAACCTGGAGTTTTTGATAAAAATACTGTTTTTTCAGAAATACTTTAAATTTTTATTCCTGAGTACTAAATAAGAACGCATGTTTTGCTTCTAACAAAAAAACTAAATATTTGGTAACTATTTATAACTTGTTTTGTTGCAATGTAAATTTTTTTTCGAAGTTTTAGATTGTTATGCTATTATTTTTTATTTCTTAAGGATAAGCAGATTGTTACATAAAAATTTAAATCTACACAATTAACTTTTTCTATTAATGTCTATTAGAATAAAATTCAAGCCTAGATTTTAATAATCATTTTATTCAGTTAACATTGCAACTTAATATGTTTTTTTTTCTTACTTAAATTTTTAATTAGCTTTTGGTTGCTTTAAAATTTGTTCATATTTTTTGCCAAATTTTTTAGTAATATTATGTAAAATTAATTCCGAATAACAGTTTTGGATGGAAATAATTTTATGTAAGGCTTATCATAAAAGTAAATACAGAACATTTTCTGTTCAAAATGGTTAAGTTACGTATGTTTTTCAATAGTTTTTTACAAAACTTTACCTGATAAGGTGATATTACAGGTTTACTTTATAATAAAAGTATACCGCTTTCAGTTTTAAACTGTAAATTTGCGATAAAATAAAATATCAAATCATAGTAGAGAATAATATTAAGAATGATAGAGGATGATAAAGATATGTTACTAGTAAATACCTATAAATGATCAAAAAATAAATAACTTATCAGTTTTTGTTAGTTAAGGAACCTTACCAATTTTCTGGCCATAGGAATGCATTGATACCTTTGAAAAATCGTTCTAGACACTTTCATTCATGTGTTTCACTAAGAACTAATGAAACACATTAGTTTGAAAATTAAAATTTTTCTCAAACATAATTATATTTTTATTTCATAAAAATATTTATTTAAATGAATTTTTTTTTAAATATTAAATTGAGCCTAATGAACAAAAGTGGAATCATTTAAGGTGCTTGGATGTTAGTATGGCCAGTTTTTACTTGAAATACGTCATAATTTAACATGACATAGTTAAGAAAACTACTCTCATGCATAACTCTAATTCAACTTTCTTTGGGCATAACTGAATATTTAGCAATTTCGGCCCACAACTGAATATGTGATGCACGTCTAGTAGTAAAATATTGTTGTAATTATATTTTCATTGTTTCTCTTAAATTTTTTTAGTTACTTTTTTCATTTAATACATGAAAAAAATTGGTATATGTATATTCGATACTGGTGGTATATGTATATTCGATAACAAACAATACTATTAAGGTTCTTAATTTTTCAGAAAAGTCCCTAATTTTTAAAAAAAAGTCCTTAATTTTTGCTTTGTTAAAAAAAGAGTGGGAAGCCTGATGTTTCTGTGGTTGCAACTTCAGAATCAATAAGAAGAAAATCATTAATTAATTCATCATCATTAATTTCGTGGTTCTCTCTTAACTGTACCCATATTTTTTTGAGTTCATCCAAAGGAATGTCATCTTCATCCTCCGCACTTTCAAAATTCTCCGCGCTGATTAAGAATCCAGCATTAGCAAAACTGTTATGAATTGCACGATCTGTAATATCATAGTTCCATGATTTAGAAATTTCTGCTATGCTTCTTGTGAATTGATTTTTGACATAAATTCCTGTATGAAATGCAAATAAAAAAAAAGGAAACTGATTTTACCTCTTTCTCTAAAAGGCTCTATATGGCTGCGAAAATCAATTCTAAGTCGAAATCAATTCTAATCAATTCTTCCTCCATAAAATGCGTTAACAAGTTGGAAATGTTCGACATATTTTGAGAAATAAGGAAAGTGGATCCCAAACAAAAGTTTGTTAAATAGAAAATTCCCTTCGTTATTTGGAAGTTATTTCATGCAGAAATTTCCAAAAGTGTTCTTGGTTCCCCAAAAAAAATTGAGAAATAGAGAAATTCACTAAATGGAAGTCTAACGGTATATATAATTTTTAGGAACAACCATTACAGTTTTTTCTTTATTGTCATTTTTTATACGCGTCTACCTTTCCCCCCCTCCTTTTTCTGAAAATAAAGTAATATTTGAAATTGTGATATTTGGTACTCATATATGTCTAGAATTTGTAATCATTTCAGAAACTTTTTCTGTTAAAAAAAACAGCTTCAGTCGTAGCAAGTTGGAAGCAATTGAAATGTAGAATAGCTCTTATTGGATTTGGAAGAAAATCCTTTGCTTCTTTGAAAATATCTCTTATTGAAGAGTTCTGACAAGACCCAAGTGGATCAATATTAAATGAAATTCAATATTGTTAATTAATATTGAATTTATTTAATATCTGAATTCATATAACAATATCATAGGAGAAGAGCAGTGTTGAATCAATAGATTTTTCCTGTAATTCATGATAAGTCAACAATTTAAACAAAAAAGAAAATTCAATTGCTCAATATATTTTTTAATAATGTTTTTTTCTTGGAAAAAAATATGCAAAAATTAATTTGAACTTCCATGTGAAGTTCCTTCTTGATAATACCATTACTGCAAAAGTTTTTATTTAAATACCTCATGAAAATTCAATATTATTTAAAATATAAAAAGTTTTACACGCAATAAACATTTTATGATAAAAGGACTCATTTAAGTTTGGTTGGAGTTTTCAATAAACAACTGTGCAAAATTGTTACAAATGTATTGTCATTATTGCTTCCATTTTATCATTGTTTTATTGATTTTTCCTTCATCTGTTTATTTACATTACACTCTGGAACCTCGATGATATCATGAACAAAATTTGAGTTCTTTAAACATTTGTTATAGCTTAATTCATTTCACCTTTAATTTCATCAAAACAGTTATCGAATTTCAGAGGCATTAAAAATTCTATCTTGAACTCTGATTCTTAAGAGGAGGCTATACCTGAAGAAAAAATTTTCATGGCGAAATCACCTGCCTGCATCTATATTTTAAAATTTCAAAGTTTAGAGAAAAGGGTGTTCAAGTAAACCAAATGTCAATCATAAAATTTCCAATTCTGTAAAAAAATAATAATAAATAAATAAAATTTAAAAAAAATCAAAATGCAAACAAATAATCGCATCTGTTAAATTTGTGTACATTTCAACAATTTGAATTTTTTTCTCCATTAGAAACTTCGTGGTATACTCTAGGTTTATCTGAATTCAAGTTCACCTGAACTCAGTTAACCTAAACCTTGTGTACCTGAAGAGTACACTAGATTTCTTTAAACTATAAAAATTCGTTGAAGGTTTATCTTGAAGAAATTTTCCTACGGTATAGCGTCATCTTATTGAACTATTTCTTGCAGCCTGAATTATCCATTCCTTAAAAGTGTGTATAGATAAGAATGTCCATACTGATAATTACTGAGTTAGCCCTTTAACAGGAAGTTTACATTAACAGCAATATATTAAAATATATTTTGGATTGAACTTGAGTAAAGGAAAAAAAAAATCATATGGTTTATTTGGTCAAATTACTTTGAATTTTAATATGTTTTTTTATGGGAGGGGGGGGGAGGTGATAGGCATACCATTATTCATTAGAGGCTAATAACTTACTGATTTATATTTCGTTTGAAATATAAAATAAATTTTCGTGAAATTTTGGAAAAAATATGGAGGAATCCATAAGGAGATATCAAAAGCAGTGCACATGCCGTGTTCTCTTTTGATATCTTTTAGTAAAATGGCAACTCCCTGTAAATATTCCTTAAAATTAACGTTCGGCTACAAAATTTGTTCCAAGGTTTTTCATCTAAGATGAAGTTATTAACATCTAGCACAGCACAAATTGAAAGTGGTCTAGTAAGTTCACCATGGATATTTAAAAATTGGAGGTGAGTATACTTACCACGGCCTTAGAAAGGGCTAATGGATGTGATGATTGAAAATAATCACAAATATAAAACAGCATCAGTAGACATATCAAAGGAGAAAACAAAAGAATTTCTGAAAAAGAAGTAAAGACGAGGGAACATGGGGCAAGAATATTCTCGGAGAACGAGAATATTCTGAAAATATTAAATTACCACACACTATAAAATATTCTGAGAATATTATCCTGAAGTCAAAATTTGGAAAATTATTGAGAATTTTGTATATATATATAAAAGTTCTCAATTATTTTCCTTGAACTGAACTTGAAGAACCTTGCAACCCACATTGATTTAGCGTACACCAGTCACAATTTTGAACACTTCGGCCAGCATGGATCGAATTCACAACCCTTCAGACATGGGCCCAACGAGTCAGGCCTGCAAAATCAGATATAAAAACAAATTTCCTCTGAATGGATGGTTGGCTGAATGTAAACAATTACCAGCTTCCCAAACCCGGAAGAAATTTTAAAAACTTCTGGTGTATCCCTTTGCCTATGTTATGTTTATGAGGTGATGTGTGAACAGGAAGTTTTGTTATTACGATTTGAGTTTAAATTTACCATTCATAAGAGTTTTCTGTAATTTATAAATTTTAACAGGTCGTGAGCCTGAAACAAATTTAAGAAAATTAATATCAGAGCATAAAGTGTCAGGTTAACCATCTTTTGAGTGTGATTTGACTATTATTTGTGTTATATAGCGCTGTTTGTTATTTTTTGGGTAGCAAGCTTGCGGAGTCTTCATTTTATTTGTTTCGTTAGATCGAAAGAATGCTTTATATTGAAAACACTACAAGTATAGACGGTACATTTTTTCAAGCTTAAGTGCTGATGACACTAGGCAACCAAGTGGAGGCAACTAGTTACGAAACCGGTTTTTGGTTTCTCGTTTGTGATCACACGTTACAACCTTCGCTTGTTCAACCAACTCTGAATAGTCCAATACCAGAACGGCACTGATATTGGACTATTATAGTATATAACAGTCCAATACCAGAACTTATATTTTTCAATAAAGTTTATTGCTAAAAGCTCTTTTAATTATCATAGAAGCGATTATTGACGATGTACTTGAAGTAGGCGTTGATCTGATAGCTGAGGTTCTGAAAGAAGAACTAGAACAGAAAAAAGGTGATTGAAAAGCAAAATAATTTCTTTCGTTTGCTTTCAAAATTTCATTAGTACTCGGAAATATCTGTCAAAGAAATATCTATCAAAATCTGTCAAAATGAGTTTAAAAAGCTTAGCGTTCAAGCTATATAATTTTGAATTTTCAAATATTTAAACATTTGTAATTAGTAATATGCTAGTTTTTTTTTCATTCACTTTTAAAATTCAATAATAATTTGTAACTTTTAATATCTCCACAGAGGAAATTAGTTTATAGGGAATTAGTTTATTCGCATAATCTTTGTTATTTATGTCCCAAAGACAAGGATACGTTTGAAAAATTTCAAAAAAAAAAAAATATATCACTAGAATTCCATTTAAAACTAGTCATAGTTAGAAGATTAAACCAAGTTCAAATTTAAAAGATAAAAATTCAGGATGCGTCAGAATCAGCACGTGTATTTTGTTTACTAAATGGTTGCTAGTTAAGGTTGAAAGTATTTGGAAACTACTATATGACACGTTTCAACTAATCTGGTTGCTCCACTAAAGTTGAAAGGTTTTAACTTCAGTTGCTAGTTGAAAGCAACCATCATATGACACGTTTCAACTTCACCGAAACCGCTAGTTGCTTTCAACTAGGTTGCCTCGTGTCATATAGCCTTTTAGGCGCAAAAATCAGTTGGAAGTCTTACGACGAATTTATACCCTCGGCACCATCTGCAGCTTTACAAGGTGAACTAGCCATAATCATAGTTTTTGATTCACTCAAAACGTTCTCGATTTTGGGCAAAAAGAAAAATTAAGGGGTCCAAACTTTCGACCGCTTTTTTGACCAAACTATAGGGATCATATTTGCCAGATTGCGAGTACCTTCTATATTTTAAGGGTTAAAAATCCAAATCTATCGAAAGAAATTTTTGTTTATTCAAAGCATGTTTATGTGACTCATTTTGTAACATAAAATATCGTCTATTCTAAGTAATTGCATATTTGAGGTGTCCCCCTCGAGGCAATAAGATCCAGTTTTTAATACGTGAAAAACCGATCGCTAGATCAAAAGTTATTTAAAGTGGTTTGTCTTGCGAACAAGGAAAAATTAACAAAGTACATTAACTAAGGAGATTCATTAACAAAGCTAAGTGTAAATTTATGCGCTTTTTTCCCCGCTGCATAAGTTTTTATCTGGTATAATAACTAGACGGAAAAACTTTCCTCTAATTTTGTGAAAGTTTTTTTTTTATGGTTTTGTAAAAAAATAACTAAAACCTGTGGTATGTCTTGACTTATTGTGAAAGGTCGTGATTTTGTAAGAAAATCTAGTCGTAGTTTTCTGGATCTTAAATTACTGTACCGAAGCCAGGTTTTTTGTTTTAGTAAGTAAGTGAAATAAAACGTGTTTCTTTGAAAAAACTTCCAACGAGTTAAAATCATACAGACATCACAGATTCAGTATTTTCAAAAGTTAAAAAGAAATTCTTTGAAATGCCCTTTTAGCGATTTAAAAAAAAAAAAAAGAGTTATGAATGATTCGTTTTCAGCCTCTTATTTTTGCAAAACTGACCCCTATTCATACAGCAGTTTAAGAATTGCGATTTAGGAATCAATAACGATCGATGTTGCCGATCATGAAGAATCATGCATGACAAATGGATGTAGAACAAGACATTAACCCTTTGCTTATGGTACAATATGTAGACCAGAATGAATTATATTGCCACAAATTCCATGTGTGATATGGAGCAGTAGGGGAGAGTGGGGTCAATTGTAACAGGGTACGATTGTAACACAGCAAAAATTTCGAGTGTCGTTTTCTAGATTTGGTTCCTAGGTGGCGCACAAGGTGTATTTAATAAATCTACATGTACACCCCTGCTGGCAACCATTTTTATGTACTTTTGAAAAAGTTACATCACAAAAGATATTTTCACGCTACGTAACTACTTTTTTTTTGGTATTAGAATATTATATTGTAACAAAGTAATTTTGTTTAAACAAATGAAAATTATTAACCGAATATGTAAGTGGACACCTTAATTAACATTTCAATAAAAAAGAATTAGTTTTGTTTATTACTTAGCATTGTTTTTAACAAATGAAGCTGAAATGGCGTGTTGGGGACGATTGTAACAATAAGTAAAGGGACGATTGTAACAGCTGAAAATAAATAATCTTATGTTTACAAATCATTACTTAACTCTTTAAGAACCACCAATAGTTTCCTATATCATTTATATTATGTTGCATGTGCATTATTTTATTTGTCACCTTTCNAAATTAAAAATAATTAAACAAATAACAACAATTTTGCAAAAACATTAAAGAACAGAAGAATATTATTCAATAAAATTTTAGGTTACTTTGAATTTTCGATTTCCTAGAAATTTACTTTTAAATCGTTACTTTTTTTGTTCAGTACTTTTACTCGTTACTTTTTAAAAGTAACGTTGCCATATATGTTTATAAATGATCAGCTAGGACTGACTTCATAGGTCACATGTGTGGGTATCTGTGATCTTCTTCTTGGATTGCAGTGCCCGCGCCGCTAATAAAATCGGCAAGAACCGAATCGTTACAATATTAATACATCCTTTAATTAAATCAATGCCGCTGCTTTTTAAAATCAAAATTTTTACTACATAATAAATCAAAAGTGCAATATTTCAGCTTTTTTTTGTTCTTATTTATAAAATTTTATTTTTTCGAAGTTTGAAGATTTTTTTAAAAGAAGCGACAGTTACTCACAAACCTGTGAAACAGGTGTTGTTAGCACTTTCCTGTGATATACATAGTGCAAGAGTAAATGTGGGTGAAGAAACCTATCTCACTCAACAGGGGGTCGAATTCTTATCTTATTTTTTATTGAATGAACCATAGAAGGGAGTTTCTTTTGTTATCTATCTTAACAGAGAACATGAATAGATTTCCAAAAACTTTCTGTGCTCATGTTCCATATTATTTAAGCCGTTTGAGTAAATTATAGTGAGAGCACATATCATTTTTAAGTTCGTTTGGTTTGGTGTTAAATTTTATCAGCATGCCGAAAAGGAAGGATTTGAGTCTTAATAAGACAAATTCGAAGTGTTGCAAAACTATGATAAGCTTCCTAAATGTAGTCAACATGAAGCTTCAATTAAATTAGGGATTTCCCAAACTGCTCTTTTCAACATTCTGAAACAAAGGATAAATATTTCCGAGGAAATAAAAAAGAATGGAAATCTGTCAAGAAAGCGTAAGCGTGAGGGAAAATCGGAGGAAATTGAAATGACTCTGTTAGAATGGTTCAAAAATGCACGTGAACGAAGATTTCCAATTTCCCGTGGAATTTTATTTCACAAAGCACAGGACTTCGCGAACTTATTTGGTGATTCTGATTTTAAAGCTAAACGATGGATGGAAACAAGGGTGGCTAAAACGATGAAAAGATCGCAACAACATTGTCTGTCGTAAATTGCATGGTGAAAAGCAAGATGCAGATTTTAGCTCTGCCGCCGATAGGGTAAACGACGTGTGGCCAACACTCATTAAAAACTATAAACCAGAGCAAATTTTCAACACGGATGAAACAGGATTATTTTTCTGAGCACTTTCTGAACACACACTGCTGTTTAAAAACGAATTGACTGGTGGATGTAAAAAAATTAAGGAAAGACTAACCGTGCTGCTTACATGACAGGAACTGAGGAAAAAAAAAACTGTTAGTGATAGTGAAGAGTTTAAAACCTTGATGTTTTAAAGGAGTAAAACACCTGCCCACCAGTTATGCCAACAGCTATAACGCATGGATGACATCCAGCATCTTCACAAAATTTCTTCTTGAATGGGACAAGGAGCTGAAAAATGAAAAGGTCGTCTTACTTTTAGACAATTGTTCTGCGCACCCTGCTGATGAGGACTTGCGTTTGAAAAACATTAAATTTGTGTCTTTGCTACCCAACACTACAGCTATTATTCAACCCCTTGATCAGGGAATCATAAGATCATTCAAGTTTCATTACAGAAAAATGGTTGTTCGAAAAATCATTTGTGACATAAACTGTGACAACTCTTCGGAACTCTTAACTGCAAACAAACTATCGAAATCCCTTACTATTTTGGAATCAATGCATTTGATTCGTGACTCATGGGACATTGTTTCAACCCAAAAAATATCAAATTGCTTTAAAAAGTGTGGATGAAGCACTGGCGATAGAGCTGAGAACTGTTTCAAAGAAATGCTCAGCAATGAAATGGACGAGAATTTTTCACGTTACGTAGCTATTGACGATAACCTGCAAACATCAGGAGAAAAATCTGATTCTGAAAGAGTTACAGACATCAAAAATTGCCAAGTCACTTCCAATCAAGAAATAGAGGAATCAGAAGATGAAGTAAACTCATCAGTGCCATCTTCAACGGAAGTCAGAAAAGCACTTAATGTATTGCGGCAAGCTTTAGAACAAAGAGGAGGAAATATCGAAAATTACAAAAACTTCTATGAACTCTCAAATGATGTTGAAAAGTTAATTTTAAATACTGCAACTCAAGCAACCATTGATCGGTTTTTTTTTGCAAAATTTTTGTAAATTTAATCTTATGTAGGGTTTTACTTAATTAAAATAATTAAATTAGTTAAAATAAAGCATTAATGTTGTCGTTATTTCAGCTTTTAAAGTGTGTGCATTTAGAATAAATATATCGTAAAAATTTGATCTTTTTTTTTCAAATGTTGAATCGCCTCTTAATAAAATCAGCCGCTAAATAAAATCAAAAGAGCATAAAACGAAAGTGATTTTAATAAACGGCGGGCACTACCTAATTAAAAACAATAATTTAATATGAACATCTCGTGCCATATAGCGGCACACGTCATAGATTCGGCATATCTGGAGTGAAAAAAAAAAGAATGAAATATAAAAACATAGGGCAACAGGGTACCTGTTATATACACAGTTTGTTTTTACCAAAAATAAAGGGTGCACAGAAAATTCATTTTGATTTAAGGATCATGTTATTAACATGTTATGTTTGAAGGAGAGAATTTCAATTTTTTAAGTAATTTTAAGTTACAAAATTATCAGTTGATTTTGTTTTTGACTTTTTTATGATTAGTTAATGAAAAAAAAATTATTCAATACGCTTATTATTAATTTTAGGTAGTTATTTATGATTCGCATAGCTTATTGAACATCGACATATGATTTTCTGGAATAGCAATTATAGAAATAAAATAATAATTGGCTTACAGTATATTTTGAGACATTATGCAACTCCACCAATCTTGACAATTACAATCCTCTGAAAGAAAAAAAATTACAAAATTTCCACAGCAAAATTAGAAAACTTGCAGTTTTTCATGACTTGAACACAATTTTAATCATAGTTTAATAAGGTTCATATATATTTGCCTGCATTAAGAATTTATATCAAAACACAGAAAAAAAAATTTAAATAAAATTTTTAAACTAGTATAGTTCCTTATTTTATGTATAAAATATTCATATTAAAAACTTTTTTCATAATTTATATTAATTTTATAACGAGCTGTAAATATGGATTTGTTTTTCAAAATGTGTATTGTTCTGTTATAAGACATTAAGAAAGAGACAAAACTATTAATCAAAAGTTGAATTATTTATTAAGATAACACTGATTACAAGAAAATAAATGTGGCTCTGAAAAAGAAATAATTGACTGCATAAAAGTACTAAAATAACAAAACTATTGAGTGAATGTCTCATTTACTGGAATAAAAATGACTAAANAAAAAAAAAAAAAAAAAAAAAAAAAAAAAAAAAAAAAAAAAAAAAAAAAAAAAAAAAACTTCCAGTGGCATTTTAGAATTCTATGGAAAATTCAGGTCTTCCTTAAGTTGTCACCATAACCATGCAACGTAAAATTTAGAACACTATAATTTGAAACAATATTTAAATAAATTAGAATCAAATTAGTACAGTATATAGATCTTAAACATAAATTTCAACGAAAGGTACCTTTATGAAAACAATATAGATTTATATACATGTGTGTGTATATATATATACACACACACATACCTTAATTTAATTCAGCACTTTACGAAAAGGATCGACTTGGGAAATTCATTTTGGGATTAAACTTGGTATACTAAGTACAAATCCAGTAGATTTTACAAAATAATATAAATTTCATGATAATTGTTGCATAATGTACTAAATTTTTACACATAGTGACTTTTATAGTCATTAAAATAGAAAAACTGCAATATTTTCCAGTTATGATTAAACATACTTGAAATGCTATGTATTATGTTTACTCTTAATTTCGAATCTTAATAGGCATTCAATTCATCAGATAGTTATAATTAATTGAAAAAGAGATTTCTGAATTTAAAAAAAACTTAACATTTTAGAATAAAAAGAAAGTTTTGAACTAATTTCTATAAATGAGGTTCACTTCATTGTGTAATAGTAATACTTATTTAAATCAAGCCTGTATAATCTGTACAAAAATTCTATTTCAATAGGGAATTTTTTAGGAAACTTACTCAATTTTAGGGGATTTTCTTTTAAGTACAAAAACTAGGAGAATTTTAATTGAACCAGGAGAAGCTGGCAAAATCCAATAGAGTTGGCTGCCATGTAAGATGTATATCTTAAGGGTATGAAAGAAATTACTAGCCAGTCAATCACAAGAAAAACACTTTTAAATATTTAACAAAACCACCTCTGTGTAACCTCAAGTTATGACCACTTTAGGAAGGTAAGTCTTAATTTTAGTCTTAGAGTCAAAAATTAAATTAGAAAAAAAAAATAATCATCTCAAACAAATCTCTCATTTTTTAAAGTAAGCCAATTTTTAAGACATAAAATTATACGCAAACTTAAACAAAAACATAATTGTTTAATTATTTAAAATAGGTATCATTCATAATTGGAAAATTTGTTTTAACCCATAACTATATCACTAGAAGTCATCTTTATTGATGGCCAATTTTATTCATCGCTTTCATGATGTCTACACAAGTGGCATTTTCGCAACAAGAGAATGACAAAGAATAAAATTAAAATCGCTTGTGAAAAAAAATCATGTACATTCGATAACATTTTGAAGTTAATGGGAATAACCCTAAGAATTACCAACCATCTAAGAATTACCAAATCATTTTACTGTGAAACATAGAGCTCCCTAAAGGTTTCACTGTATAATACTTAAATCTTTACTATGTTAACAGGGCAGTGGCCTACTGATAGCGTAGAAGACACGTGTGGTCCAATTCATGCATAGGATAACTTTAGTTCCCTTTTCTTTATTTTTATATTCAATAAAAAAAATTTTTTTTTACTAATAGTGTTAATTTAAATATATTTTTATTATACTTTTTATTCATTTAATATTACTCGACACTTTAATTACAGTATATTTTTTTCTTCATTCATTTTTAATAAAAATCTTTTCCGTTAATAAGTTATTTAGCATATTTTTTTAAAAAAAAATTTGTTGTTAATTTGCATTTAAAACTACATTTAACTATTCAATAAAATAATGATTAAAATCATCAACAATAAGAAATCATTGTTTTTAATAGTATTTATAAACACTGATTAAAATAATTAAAAAGGTTATTTCTTCGAAAATGTACCAGTCTCATCCTTTTGATGTTCATTTATTTAAATATTTTACACATGGGTAAAAAAAGATGAATGAAGCTTTTACAGAATATTGCATATTTTATCAAGCAAAATCAAAAAACTACATAATTTATATATATGATTTAGATGAAAAGACCTATTTTTAATAAAATTATAAAATATTATCTTATAATATATTTATTTTTTATTTTACTTTTTAATGATAAGTACAAATATTTGACAGATTATTGTTCATAAAAATAATAAAATAAATTAATAAAAATTTTACTTTTTAACTATGATAAGTACTTAGTAATTTTTTTTCCATTTCTATTAAATTATTGAAAGATTTATTCATTACTGTAATTTGAATGACAAATAAGATTAAATAATTAAAAAATACAAGATAAAAAAAAATGCTTAAATCACAATAAACAAATCATTTTTAAAAAAAGTGGTCCACTGTGCATATTGAACCCTAAGACTCTCACATTTTTTTTAAAAAATCATTTGATTTAAATCATGATTTAAATCAAGCTGATTTAAATCAACGAATCCTACTAATGCACTTTATTATTTTAAGGAGTAAACATCTAATAGGTTTACTAATCATCCCAAAGTGAATTTCCCAAGACATGCATTCCCTTTGTCATTGACACATCTGCCAACATGGATAGGAAAAAATCCAGTAGATTTTACGAATTTCATGATAATTGATGCGTAATGTACTAAATATTTTACACATAGGGATTTTTATCGTCATCAAAATAGAAAAACTGCAACATGTTCCAGTTATGAATGACATTAAACATACTTGAAATGCTATGTATTATGTTTACTCAAATATTAATTGGCATTTAATTCCTAAAAGATAATTAAAATATTTTTTTTAAAATTAATTTAAAAAGAAAGTTCTGAATAAAAATAAACTAAACATTTTACAACAAAAAAAGAAGGTTTTGAACTGAGTTCTATAAATGAGGTTCACTTTATTATGTATTAGTAATACTTATTTAAATCAAGCAATAACCTGTACAAAAATGCTATTTCAATTGTGATTCTTTTAAGAAACTTACTCAATTTTATGGAATTTTCGAAAATTTACCATAATGAAAATTTTAATTAAACCAGTAAAACAGGAGAAACTGGCAAAATCCAGTAGAGTTGGCAGCTATGCAATGATATGCCTTCATTTTTTAAATATAACTGACATTTAGGCTAGAGTGTGTAGTATGCTAATGCTTGTTGTGCAGCTATAAGATAAAGTTTAAAAATAAATTTATATAAATTTTTTAAACGTTGAAAAACAAAAAATAAAACCATTCAGCTTCAAATTTTTTTTAAACATCAATTTTCTTGAACAGGGTTGCCCCTCAAATCTGCAGAAAAAAAATTTCCAGTACACATTATACAAAATATATTAAGAGGAAACAACAATTACTGTGCTCTTGTGTGAGCTAGATTGGGCTTACTGTATTTATTCATTTGTTTTAATTGCTGGAAAAAAAAGAAACAGCTGAACATAAACTTAAATATCCCGTAGATTAAGCTTTGAGTAGTCACCTTTTATTAAAAGACAAAAATAAGGAACAAAATTCCCTGTAGTTTCCCAGTTTAAAAAAAAAAAAAAACTCAAATTCTCTATAACTTTAGGTGGTTTTTTAATTCCCTGTATTTTCCAGGTTTTCCTTGTGAAGTGGCAACCCTGCTTGAACATAACTATTCTTTGCCCTTTAAATTACCCATTAATTTGTTTCCTAATGTGATGTGAATAACTTATGTACAAATGGTAAAAAGTTTAAAGTTTTCCAAAGCACATAAAACTCAGAATTTGAATTCCTTGTATTTCTTGGGAGGTTTTGCACTATCAAGTTGTTGTTTCTTGCGCTTGCTTTTCTGACGTGCAGCGTGCTCAGCCACCATGTCACTCAAGTCTTCTTTTTCCAACTGTGACTGTTGCTCTCTCATAGTCTGCTCATATCTCGCAGCCATAGCAGCGGTATCCATTTCCAATTCACTTGGATCTAAAGCAACTTCAATACCTTGAGGCGGAACAGACGCAGTACCAGATGCTTTCAGTTTACTACCCGGAATCGCAGCGGCTATGTCATAAATATGGGTGGATCCCATCATAGCCGCGCCAACACGCTCCGTCTTCTTCTCTGGTAATATGGTATAAAGAGTAGGCGTTTCACCACCCTCCAATTCAGCTTCTATTTTCCTCTTACGAAGTTCAATCATATCAGGTGTTTCCATTCCAGCTGGAATAGAGCTGAATCCGCTAGGCGTGATAAGCCCTTCAGCTGGAGTGACTAATCCAGTTTCGTCTTCAGCCTTATCTTCCTCGTCCTCTTCTTCCTCCTCCTCTTCGTCTTCTTCTTCTTCTGAAGACTCTGACTCGAGTTCGCCCCATAGAGTGTGATCAATTTCTTCCTCCTGAATGTGAGGCTGGTTGTCTAATATCTGTGTACCAAACACGTCACCGTAAAGAGGCCGGCCAGTCTCATCGACGGGAGGCTTACCCCAACCGCCTGCGTGGTAACCGAAGGAGCAACTGTCTGGAATAGGTGCATTGAGTCCAGGAATTTTCAAGTTAGGGTAAGAAGGAGGCGGTCCATAACGCTGCATAGCAATTAACCAGGGTGGTGGGCATTTGTTCGCATTGGGCCCAGTGGGCATTCCTAAGGCAGTCCTCAAATCTTCACTTAAATCGCCAGGTTTTTTCTCTTTCAATCTAGTTTCAAACTCTTTTCCCTCGTAGTACAAGTCACCGTGAATAGTCATTTTGGGTTTTGTCTGCCATTTAAAAAAGGCATCATGAAGCTTTTGATAATCGATGTCGATTTTGCCCAATTTCGGTCGCACTCTTTCCCTCATCTTAGCTTTCATAGTTTTTTGATCTTCTTTTTCCTGCAGGGCTTGTCTCATCTCCATGATGCCAGTTCGCTTAATAAAGTCTGGTAATTCAAATGCAGGTTTTTCGATACCACGCTTTCCCTGTAAATATTTACGTTTGAAGCACCAATGGCGAGGAACTGGCACTGTATTACGAGATGCTTTTAAATGTAGCAAAAGAACAGGGTCCTTAGCTGTGACGTCATGCATCTCGACTAATTCTGGACGATTCACTTTTTGCTTAAGCTCAGCTACAGACATCCGGCTTAACTTTTTAAGTTTTCTCTTAGAAAGCTTTGGCTTTTCCTCTTCAAGCTTGTCATCATCTTTCTCATCATCATCATCTAAGTCCACTGGCTTCTTTCTTATAGCCATAGGATTAAACATTTCTTCTTTTAATGCATTTTTCCCAGCGTCTGTGACCATTTCTTCGTTTTCTTTTTCGCTTTCTGTTAGTTTGAACTTCTCAAATATTTTCATAAACTGATGATACAATGGATCAGAAGTATCTATTACCTCTTGAACATACTCTATATCAACATCAACACCAGAATCTCTCTGCGAATGCTTATCTTGAAATTTTAACATTGGATTTTCTTGACTTTTAACTTGTCTCTTCTTTTTCTTTTTCCTGCGTCGTTTGTTCTTAGAATCCTTCTGCTTTTGAGAAGCATCCTCCTCCTCCACGTAATCCTCGTCGTCTACTGATACCAAATTTACCACAGGTGTTTTAGAAACTTGAGTTCTTTCATCGTTTGGAGATAGAACAGTGTCAGGATCGATTCCTAATTCTTGTGCTCTAACAGTTTTGAGAGCGAGCACTTTTTCTAAAGCTTGCGGCAATTTAATTTCAGCAGCATTTTCACTTGTGTCCATTGATTCTGAAATTTCAATGCCTTCTGTTTCAGATTGATTGTCAATGTTACTATGAATTTGATTTTCCAATGACGCCATCATGTTAATGGTAGGTAGAGGAGGTGGAAAAAGGGAAGACGGAACAGAAACATTTGGATGATGAGAATTAGGTGGCATGGATGTTCCAGGGGGTAAAAGAGGAGGAATGTTTGACATTAAAACAGTAGGAGGAGGTGGCAAAATATTCATAGATGGCAGAGAGAATGGCGGCATAGGTGGCATTTGCAAAGTCGACGTAAGATTAACAGTCATGTCATTGTTTGCTGACATCTGCTGTTGCTCAAATTCTTTCTTTCTCCATTCTTCTTCTTCTGCTTTACGTCTCTGCTCTTCTTCTGCTTTACGTCTCTGCTCCTCTTCTGCTATGCGTTTTTGATTCATTACACGCAATTCTTCTTCTTCTTTTCTCCTTCGTTCTTCCATGAATCTTTTTCTCTCCTCTTCAGCTTTTCTTCTAGTTTCTTCTTCCGCTTTCAATCTAGCTTCTCTTATAGCAGCTTCTTTTGCCCTTTGCTTAGCCTCTTCTTCTGCTTTCAATCTAGCTTCTTCTTCAGCTTTTAGCCTTGCAGCTTCTTTTGCCCTTATTCGAGCGTCTTCTTCAGATTTTAGCTTAGCTTCTTCAAGCTCCCTGAGTCTAGCTGCTTCCTGTGCTTGGCATTTAGCTTCTTCTTCAGCCTTTAACTTGGCCTGCATTTTTGCTTTTTGTCGAGCTCTCTCTTCCGCTTTTAGCCTAGCTTCCTCTTCAAGACGAGCCTCCTCTTCTGCTTTAAGGCGAGCATCCTCTGCAGCTCTTTGCCGAGCTTCCTCTGCAGCTCTCTGTCGATCTTCCTCCTCAGCTCTCATGCGAGCTTCCTCCTCAGCTCTCATGCGAGCTTCCTCCTCAGCTCTCATGCGAGCTTCCTCCTCAGCTCTCAGACGAGCTTCCTCCTCAGCTCTCAGGCGATCTTCCTCCTCAGCTCTCAGACGAGCTTCCTCCTCAGCTCTCAGGCGAGCTTCCTCCTCAGCTCTAAGACGAGCTTCCTCCTCAGCTCTCAGGCGATCTTCCTCCTCAGCTCTGAGACGATCTTCCTCCTCAGCTCTGAGACGAGCTTCCTCCTCAGCTCTGAGACGAGCTTCCTCCTCAGCTCTGAGACGAGCTTCTTCCTCAGCTCTGAGACGAGCTTCTTCCTCAGCTCTCAGGCGATCTTCCTCCTCAGCTCTCTGACGAGCTTCCTCATCATCATCAGGCAAACTTTCACTACTTCCTGAAAGTAACAAGAAATTAGAAAACAGAGAAGAAACAAATATTACACATTAAAGATTCATTCAAATGAGGAAACGTTAAAAAAAGTTATATTGAATTATATTTGTTTTGCATAATATTGAATTTGGCATAATATTTGTCAAATATTGAATTAGATTTGTTTGGCAATTAGCAGGGAAAGACAAATGCCAAGGTCCAGGTCACTCAGTCGACTAGAAAAATTCCCCTAGCAACAAACTGTTTCAACACATTATTTCTCTACTCAGCTGAAGGATTTCTTAAGGAAAAAAAAAAATTGTTATCTTCTTCTTTGTAGGAGAATTTTATCGATTTATACAAAGTATTTTAAAGCTAAAACTTAAAGGCAGGGTTTAATGTATATAGCAAATTTAGTGTTTGCAGTAAAGGAAACAACATTAAATTACCTGCCATTGTTGAGTTTACTTCAAGTGTTTGTTTTATTAAATTATAAGATTTATTTCCCTTAAATTGTAATGAACTTGATTTACTCTAATACTTAACTAAACTACTTTACTGCAAAAAGACACAGATACGACCCAAATCATCCAAACATTATGAGAAGCTAGTTTTTTATTTTTTGGTAAATGCAATAAAGTAGCAATAATTTTAGAAGCTGGCTCCTAAGAATTTCCTCTGGATGCCAAAATTTTATAACTTAGCAATTAGTATTCAAGAAAAAATTTAAAAAATAAAATCAAAAAAATTTATCGAGCAATTTCATTATGTTTTTATTCATTTATGTTTATTCTTACATTGATATTTAAATAAACCTGTAAGTAACTTCTACCATTTCTTACTTATACTTTACAGCATTTTTTACTCCACATTTTTCACTTTATAAATGAAACCTTCGATAAGGTTCCGTGGTTGTGTTCTGTTGTTCGAAAAGGTTTTGAACAATACTGGTAAACAGGGCAGCTAGATAATGGGGCAGATGTCAAAAATAATGAAAGATCCAGGAAGAAAAGTGAAAAGGATTTTATTCTAAATGGCGTAATTCGAAGCTTTTTCCGAAATTCGCGAACTTAAAAATTGATTTATAGGATGCGTGAATTTCTCGCGGTAATAATTTTTTAATGCGAGAAAAGAAAAAAATATGCGAGATTCTCGGATTCTCGAGCTGTAGTGAAAACACTGCCAGTAGTCTACTCGAAAATCCAGTAGAGTTGGCAGCTATGTATTTATCTATTATTATTTATTCTAGAATGCTCGAAGTGACATTCTCAACTAGGGGTGCACAACCTGCAATACGCCGACTACTGTAGTGTGGCCCGTGAGACCTTCTAATCACAAAAAATAACAATAAATAAAAAATTTCAAAAATTTTTAATCGCACTTTTGAATTATCACATTTTGACATGATCAATTTTAACAGATCCTATAATAAATGAATGTTTAACGAGCTTTCTTTAAGTCGATTTTATAAATGATTTTTTTAAACAGTTATTTCAGCTTTTCAATGTGTTTTCAAAAATCGTTTCGGTCCAGTTTTATTGAAAATCGTAGTTATTTTTCCTTTGTTTTTTTTCGGCAACGAATATTATTTGGTCGAATGTGGTGATAAATTGTGATTTGGTCAAAAACCGAATATTCGGGAGAAAAAAATTGACCGAATACTGTATATTTGGGGATAAATAGCAACACTGAAACAAGAAAAATAATTTCTGGAAAAACGGATTCATTAATCAATGCAAACAAAATAAGGCCTATCAAGAACGCGTTTGAAAATCCATCTCAGTTTTCCATCCAGTTACAAGAAAAAGGCAAGAAAAATGAATTAAGTCAAATGCCCTTCTCGCTCTCGTGAAAATGACGGGGTGAGATTTCGTCCGCTATTTCTCGCTCCCGTGATATTGTTGGGCTGGAGTGTTCAATAGTAACGTGCCAATAAGAATAAAACTAACTCATTTCTTTTGCCCGGAAAACATTTTATTTCTCATTTTTCACACCTGAATGTAGTACCAGGATATTTTTAAGGTAATTGTAAATAGTTTATTTTAAACTAGTTGCAGCACTAATCAAATACGTAATACAAATACAAAAGCCAAAAAAATGGGCACTTTTATGACCGTTTTCTTGAAAATTAACCAATCGTTAAGGCAGTGTTTTCATCATAGAAAAAAAATGGGTGAGAATTTCCCACCCTTTCTCAAAAACAGGGTGAGATTTCAGAAAGTTAAGTGAGATTTCTAAAAACTGAAAAAATACAAATAGACTTGAAAAAAAAATTTCTTTCATTATAATACATTTTTAACGTCTTCTATTTTTTAAAGCATTGAATATTCTTGCTGCATCATCATAGAAGATTTTGCCTTTACTAGGTATTTGTCCATCTTACATTAGTGCATAAAAAATTTGAACGTCTTACATGAAAAAACCTTACTTTAATAGTGGTCAAAANAACTCTGAAAATTTTGTTAAAGTATTTAATATGCATTTATAAAATATTAAAATTAATAAAATATTTAAATTTTATTAACTTGTGTTCAGAGCACACAGTTATTCAGAAACAAGGCCATTAAATGGTCTGATTTTGAAAATCCTCTTTTAGTAATTTCTAAGAAATGATAAAAAAAAATTAAAAAAAAATACTCACACATAAAAATTGAAACAGGACATAGTTAAATAATGTACAAAAATAATTTTTAATATTGCTGAAAAGATAGTTAGAAATTCAAAATATCTATTAAAAATAATAGGCCTCTCACTTTAAACCTTTTTGAACTTTTAGCTGCAAATCTTCCTGCATCAAAAAACCGGTTTCAGTTCTGGTTGTTATTCAATGGCGAGTAGTATATAGCAAGGAAATCTCGGTGCAATTTTACCCATGGGTCATTCCACAGAATTTCAACAAATATTTATTTTTTTGGTTGCCGCACCATTTTTGATTTTTTTCATACTTAGTATGTGGAAACATATGTACCAAAGAAGTTAAAATCCATTTGCAGAAAAATTCTATCTTCTTAATTTTTTTAATTAGGGGGGCTTGAAAATGGCGACCTTGCTCGTTTTTATGAAATTCAGGGGTGTCTTAAATCTTACATATTTTCTAAACTAATAGAGATAAACAAAAAATTCAAAAAGATATTAAAACTGTGAAGTTTTTTAAATTAAATCATGTAAAATTTGTGGTTTTATCTGTACTTTAAAAAAATTGTAAACACTGTTAAAAAAAAAAAACTGAACATTACTCAAAATGCCAGTCTTTGAAAATAAATATCTCATGAAGGGGAAGAGATAACAGTTTGGATTTTTTATATGTGTTATTGCTACATATAACATATTCCTGGAAAAAAAATCAGGCTGTTATTTCCTTTCCCTTCTGAATTATAACAATCACAATTTTGAAAATTTTCAAAAATTTACATTTTTGACACCCTGTAACTCAAAAGGGGGAGGTGGTATTCACACTAAATTTTACAAGGTAGGACCTCTACATACAACATCTATAACCTGTAAGTTTTATTCTGTTATTCCAATTGGTCTGTGAGATACAGAGATTTGAAATTGAAGAAAAGACAGTCAGCTATGAAGGACTTTGTTAGGTCTAATCTGCCATTGAACAACTATTGAAAAACAAAAAAAAATTTAATTTTTCTTTTTAAAGTTTACATTTTATTTATTTAATGCTTTAATTTTTTTTTTAAAAAAGCTCTGAAATTGTAGCACTCAGTTCTGGCTTAATGTTGTGCACTCGTCCTGTTGGTGTTGATAAATCCAAAGGAGATAAAATTATCAGAATATTTTTTTGTTCAACCCATACACTATCATTCTTCGAAATCTTAAAGCTAGTACCTGATCCAGAAGGATAGAAAAAAATGAATTTTGAAATCTTTTTCAACATCTTTTACTATTCCAAATATCTCTGTTGTATTTTCTTTTGTGATTTTTGTGTCAGTATAGTGTTCAAAAAATGAGATTTCTCGAACTCTTAAAGTATGAACACTTATTGGGATATAACTGTGGTAACCTCGTGTATTTAATATTCTAATGCAGGAGGCAAACCTGTTGGCAAAAAAATTGTCCTGCCTGTTGAACCTTTAATTGTGATACAAAAATATACTGAATTCCAGGAATATTTTCTTCACAAAATTTGAACACATCTTTTGGAGTTATGATTTGATTCTCAGTCAGTTATTCCTTGTAGACTGGCTTTTGAGACAAGTCTTTTTGTGGTGTCTCCAATGCCATCACAAGGCCCTTTGCCATGTGAAGTGGTAAAGAAATGCCACTCGGCATTCAATCCAAAATCATGTTGATGGTGACTGAGATTTACTAAGTTTTTTCGATTTTTGTATAGCCCTGATGCACCATCAGAAAAATACACAACTTTTTCTACATATGGAGCAGAGGCTTTCAATACTTTCTGTTAAAGATAACAATTTACAACGATCTGTCCACTGTTCATAATTTATAGCATGAATAATTTCATTGTCAGTTTCCATTATTTCGCATATGTACTGGAGCAAAAGTGATAGTCCATGACATTGTGGACAACCATGCAGCATGCAAGTTTCATTTTCAACATTGCAAGCAACTTTTGACAGCAAATCCTTATAGGTTATTGAAAGTTTAGCAGCACTGATCATTAATTTTACATTTTGATGCTTCATGCATACACATACAGAATGTGTACCATGAGCTCCAGCCAATATGCACCATTTAGGGTGCAATTCAGCAAATTTAGAAAAGGAAATTTTGATACCTGCAAAATTTAATATGTAGCTTCTTTAAGTTACAGAGTATAAGTCTTTTCTGTTCATGTTTCTTTTCTCCATTTGAATTTCTTATTGTTACATAATCTTTCATGCCTGGACACATTCTTGAGACTTCATCAGAATTATAGAACTGGTAAACTTCACTAAGATCAGCATCACTTAATGTCTTACCACTTCCAGGTTTCCTATTTTCGAGATCAGGCAAAATACCATAATTTGAAACAAGTTTCCGAGTTTGGCAAATTAAATATTGACTGACACC